GGAAATTAAGGAAATTAGGAATTTAGAAATAAAAAGATAAAGAATGTCATTATGAAAATATAAGCATATGTCAAACTGGTATTTGTGGAATGGAATACAGGTCTTATTTCTACACTTTCCTGTAATTATCCTGACAGAATTATGGGGGGGAAAAAAGTAATGCATTTGATGTTTTATCTCTCATAAAAATATATGCTAATGCTTCAAAAATATAATCCTCTAAAAACAATAGATCAAAGAATGTTTTGTGACTAGAAAAATACCAACACATTACACAGCAGCCTCACATTGCTTTTCTCTTAATGTGTTGCTACATTTTATTGACAGTGACAACTTAATATACATGACAAAGAAACAGCTCAGTCACAAAATAAATGTGCAGGTTTTATTTTGTTCCTTTTCCAAGAAGAATGTAGAAAGTCCTCTACCTACACACACAAAAAGTTCAGACATACCTTTTAATTTTGGCTTAGTTGCAATAGGCAAAACCACCAGTAGTTCACACACAAAACCAAAAGCTGCCATGATCCTTTTTATGCTTGTCACAGAACTGCTACTAAATATGTCCTTGTTGTCTTCTCAAGAATACTTTGTCCAACACCTTCAACATTATAGGTTTTTAAAAGATCTTTTTTTATTTCTTGAGACGGAGCAAAGAACCACTTCTTTTAAAAAAGTATTGCTCTCTTGTTAAAGAAATCCCATCATGCATATTAGACGAAGAAAGAGAATTCAGCATTCTGTACATTACCATCTTATGGGATTTCCTGAGTGTTAAAGAAAACCAAAACAGTGCTTCCATGATTTCACTGAAGTATTAAGTGCAGTAAGACTGCTCACACAAAATAAACATTTTGTTTAGGAGAGCCAACAGTTCTTAAAGAGAACTTCAGAGAATATAACCTACAACATATCCAAAGATGAAGCAAGTACCTTGAAAAATGGTTGCATAGAATTAAAGATTTCACATGCAGGTAAAAAAACAAAATCCACATATATACAAGCTACTTACCTTACTAAAACCAGGTTTGCCAAAAACTGCATTAGTCTGAGGACAAGCTCTTGTCAACACACAGTTTGTTTTCAAGAAGTCATTACATCTCCTGGCATTCGAAGTGTGGAGAGAGCATACAAATTATTAGCTGTCATTTTTCATAGGTGCTTGATGGCTTATAACAGCCAAAAATTTAATCAAAACAGTTGCACTGCTGTTGAGACAAGTAATGCCCCACCTTAAGCTTTCAGTCTTTATAATTTTAGGTGCATTTGCAAGCCTGCTCTCATTTTCTTCCAAGAGTTAATGAATCAGATCAGGACAGGTAATGTACCTCAGAGAAATAGTTTGCAATGAACATTTTTTAACAGTTTAATTACCAGGTAGAAGTATGTAGATTTTACTTTTGAATCCTTCCTCACAAACATTAGCATGTATCTGGTATCCATTCTCTTTCTCTCCTAAATCAGAGGAGACAGCAGTTCTGGCACACTCCTTTTTACATGAAAGACTTGGGGTTTGGGTTGGCTGAGAGAAGCATAGCTTCTCCTCTTATAACTTAGTGTCTGAACCATTGCAAAACAAGGTCAGTTCCAGAAATATGGCTTTTGGTAGACAGCATTCTACCTGCAATTCAAAGGAAAAGATCCAGAGTTCAGAGCTGGAAAGAAAATGCCTGTGCAACTGAATATTTTCATAACCTTAGAAGCACACTCCTACACTCTGCACCCTACAATATTAAATAAAACCAACTTTGTGTGGGGTTCCCATTCTGTTTGTGACACAGCATCATGCAGGTGACAGGTTATGGCTGAGCCTGGGACCTTCCCTAGGGAGGTAACTAAAGGAGCCCGAGGGATCAGAGCCCAGCCATGCCAGACAGCATGGGTACAGTGAATGGAAAATCAGAGCTAAACCCAGTGTAAAGCAAGTAATGATTCCTTCTGCCAGAAGAGAGATGCTAAAAGCTCCAGAGCAAGAGTGGCTTCTAGACAAAAATAGTATATTTATTTACAAAAAAACCCATAACAGGTACACATGTGAGAGGTCTTCTAGACTGGAAAACTTTTGTTGTTTTTTCGATTATATTTGTGCTAAGAAAGAACAAATACTATCACTGCTTGCATGGCTATAAACTACTTCTAGAGGGACTCTGGCACATACAGCCATGAGACCTGCCAGTCATTTAATATGCACAACATGCTGCAAAGACACTGACAACTTGACAAAGTCACTGCACGGATGCCATCCCTGGTTGTGAATTCACACATCGCGTTCCCCTCGCTCCCAAACCTGAGACAGACAGGCGTGGTTTATATTTAGAATCAGAAACACACAGAATGGAGGGGAGCTCCTTGCTCCCCTCTTAGGATCACTGACCACCGTCCACTATCCTAACAGCCAAGGAACATCTGAGCCTTTCCACAGGATGATCCAAACTGGTGAAAAAATGCTGCTGTGCACTCTAGGAATGTTATAATACTGGCAAAATACTGATTTGAAAGCCAGCTATTTTAAAAATAAGACATGCTTAAGCACTGCCCAGGGCCTGTGCAATTAGGCTTTAACAGCTTACAGCACTCATGTGCATGAGAACAAACCCTTTCCCTGTGCCTGATCCCTTGGATTAGGCTCAGAAACAGTTAATGCTTCCAGCTGAACGACAGATATACACCCACCCAATAAATCACACAGATGAATTGGTAACTTATCTGTCCCATGATATTTTGTTCAAAGTTCATGGCTGCTCTCAGGAAAACAAACCACCAGCAAGTACCTGCTAAACCCAGCTCTTTATTTAATGAGCACTGCTAATGGCACACGTACTAGAATTTGCTCTCTGCTTTTATAAATAAATTTTAAAAATTCTTTTCTAACAGGTGTATAAAGAAATTTTTAATAGAATTGGAGGTTGCAATATTGATCCTGCAAAAAGATTATTGGGTTTTTAGGATAAATTCAAATTTCACTTAAGATATGACAGCAGTGTCCAGTTTTCACAGCCAGCAACGTTATGAGATATATTGTACCTGCTTTTTCATGTATAGATACCAATAAAGTTTCAGAAAAAAAAAGTAGTATGCAAATACTAAGAAGTCAAAACATGCCTTCTAGTAAGGAAAGCAACTTTCTTTTGCTTGGACATCATCAACATGAGTGAAAAGTGGTCAGAACTCCTAAGCAGTATTTAATGCCATTGATATTTTTATGATCCAGCCTGTTTTCCAACTAAAAAGAAATACCACTAAATAAATGTGGTAACTTTTTTATATCCTTAGAGTGGAAAGAGTAAATACATTAAAGCACAGAATATTTTTTTAATTACTTTAATAAAACCAGTTTTTGATTATCAAAGTACAGTTTAGTAGGACTGAATTTGGCAGAGATAACATTTAAAACATATATTGTCAACTCAAAATGTAAAACAATAAATTATTTCCTAGAATGTATGCTCCCAGCATCAAAACGAACACAAAATAAAAGTTTTTGTAACTATTTGTAACCTCTCTCTTTAACAATATTTTGCTGTGAGAAAGCTCACTTCTGCAACACACACACACACACACACGCACAGATTTCCAGAACTGCATTCCCCAATGGGTATTTACAAAAATAAACAAGATAAGGATATCCCTTTACAAGGGATAAACAAGAAACTAGAGTAAACTTCCACTATTAAGTTTGCAATGATCTCTTTGAAAAATTGAAATTTTTTTCTGGGTTTTTTTTTAACTTTTCTTTATGAATGTTATTTGTATTTGTTGGTTTCTTGTGATTACATTGTGAAAACCCCATTTATTTTCAAGACCAAGATGTGCAGAATGTATTGCTTGCCAGGGCCAGAAGAGGGAGCTCAAATTAGCACTTTCATTTATTAGGCTAAAGCAGCTTGTAACTGTAGAATTTAACAGTAAAGGTACTTTTAAAACATTAATTAGACGCTTTGATGCATTATGCATTTAAATTAAAGTGACAGCTTAGTCTCTCTGATTGGCATCTGTAGTAATGGCAGTATAGGACAGAGTTAAAGGTAAAAGGCTCTCTTAAAACTGAACCTTCACACCACAGGTGATATCTGAACAAAACCCAAGGTGCCCTGCAGTAAATGCCTTCAAAATCACCTCTTTTCCTTTGCCCATCAGGCACATGGAGGCATTCTCTGCAATGGGAAACAAAGCTTTGTAGGCTTCTCCCAATTCTTGCCGTGAAGCCTCAGTAAGCACACCTCCTGTAAAGCCTCCAGTCCAAGAGACACCTCCCGGTATTTTTAAGAGCAAACTGACTTGCACCTCTCTGTTCTCAAAGCAGAATCAGTTAACTCAGGCTCTGCTTTTGCCTCCTAAGCTGCACTCTCTGCCAGTAATTCTGTACCAAATTAGTGCTATGCTGCTTTGCAGAATTAAACCACCACACATTCACTAAATTTTACATTTTCCTGTCCACTACCTTTAATACAACATATGTTGCCACAGCTGTGAATATGGACAAAGAATACAGAAGCACATCTCCCTGAGATGATTCAGCCTGTGTTGGATTAGACATGATGAATCTCTCGGATAAATAAGTTTGTACCAAGCAGCATGCAATTATTGCTTTACATGCTATAAATAACATAACCATTTCCACTTAGGGTTTTCAGAATTTTAGTGTAATAATTGTTATGACAGTAACAGACAAACAGAACTGGGAGAATACCACCAGAGAAATCTGGGATAAAGTATACAAGCAAGATCCCTTCAAGTAGCTCATAAGTGTGGAAGTGGGTTTGCAAGTGTACAGAATGTCATATTTTAAAAAAATATTTATGTGATGGCAAGAACGGAGCCTACAGAAATGTGAGACAAGAAGGGTATGTTTGAATTTTATGTCAAAGAGATGAAATCAACAGAAAGGGGGAAAAGATTTAAAGAAAATATTAAAATGTCAATATTAACAGAACAAATCTCATCACATAAAATCCATAACTAAGATGAGTTTAAAGGACTCTACAAATAAAGAAGTATCATAAAAGTCTAGGTAGAACACATGTATTTTCTTTGCCCTCCTACAACCTAATACTTGAATACAAAGTTATTCTCTCAGACTTTACACTGTCAGTGCTTAAACCCTCAGACCTGCAACTCTATAAATATTCTTCTCCATTTCCAAAGAAATATCTGTGTAACAGTTCTGGAGATTAGAAACACATTGATTAAAGAACCAATTTTATTACAATGAGATAATTAAAAATTAATTTCATCAAAGGAACAAAAGAACAGAATAAATAAATTAATAAATACAGCTATGTGGGTAGGCACAGAGAAAAATACTCAATGCAATAATGAAAAATGTGCCAAATAATAAATATTTATTTATTAATCTCATGGCTTCTTTGATGGCACTGGACTCCTCTCTTTCCGTTTAGCAGCCTTCTCCATTTTCAGCTGTAAAAAAAAAACAAAAAAACACCAGCAGCGGTTCAAACACTGATTTGCAAATCGGCTAACAATGCAATATTAAATTTCTCCAGCCAGTCACAAATTTACCAGGGTGGTACATGCAGTGGAGAAATGTACACAGCATTATTATCCCAACCCAGCGCTGCTCCCGTTTGCACCAGCAGACAAAGGAGCACCTCCCCTGCCGAAAGCAGGCTGCCTTATCTCTGCTAAGGGCAGTTCAGGTGTTTGAGTATCCCTCAAGGCCAGTGCGCCTCAGGAATGCCCAGGGTTTATCTCTGCCAATGAAAGGTGGAGCGGTTTTATTGCAGATGTCTAACAGACACAGTTAGATGAGCCAGCACACTTAAACCCTGCGGGAAAGGTTCTGAACCTTCATCCCAGAGGCTCCCTGCCCACCCACAAGGCCATGACTTCCTCCTGTAAGATTTTTTCTACACAACAGGCTCTTGTAACGTTGTAAAATTTATCAACACATACACATTTCATTCTGTCAGTTAGTAGTAAGACTATTTATCCAAACAGATATATCTGCTGGTTTTAGAGGCCACGATTTTTCTCAAGTACTGTTACACTAGTGAATGAAATCATATTTAGATCAATTATATAAAAGGGATGCAGAGACTTTTGCATCTCATCTAACACATACGCTGCTATTAAAAATACAGGAAAAAAAGAATTCACATGCTTTTTCCCATCATAAAATAATACCAAAAGGAAACAAGACCTCATTGGGATGTCTACAAATTAACTTACTGCTAAGCAAATGTTGTTGATCTGCACAAAAATGCATTTTAAATCACCTTTCCCCCTTTGTAGGCTTGAGGTTTTTATCTAAAATTTCAACTACCTTTTCCAAAGAAAATAAAATCTCTGGGGGAAAAAGAAACTGAGAAATTTGAACTTGATGTTTTCTATGAACCAATGTAATATTTGTAACACCTGTCCATATTTTCCGATGATTTACAAAACAAAGAAAACTATTTTGAATTTCACAAGGCTAGAACAGCTTTCTCCATAACAAAAAATCTTGTTGCAAGCCAGCAAGCAAAATAGCAAAACAGTTTAGATTTTAAAAGTTAATTATGCAACATTGCTTTACAAAAGAATTCATAAACAGTCGAGACATACTTCAGCTGAGATGGTGGAGCTAAAGGGCTAGTGTGAGAAAATAGGTATATAAACGTGAATAACCTACACCACGGGGCATTTAAACTAAAGATAGTGTGGTGGAGGAGGCACCTCTAAGTGAGTGATACAGATCATCTAAGAAAGGCAGACCAAATTTAACCAAATTTAGACAGACAGTCATTAAAAAAAAAATTAAAAAAAAAATTTTATAAGTGAGGTAGCAAACATACAGTCACAGGGGAGTTTCTGTGACTCTGTGTTGTTGTTTTTTTTCTGTCACATAGTAAAATGTTTTGATTTTTACCTCAGTTAAAATCTGCCTGATTAAGGTAAATGCCATCCCACACATGACCGACAACTGAAATCCTATAGCAGCTCATAACTGGTTTTTAAAATTTATGTTAAGAAGCTAGCTTTCTCAGCAATTGAGAAGGAATTCTATAATGCATTTATATGCCACTTAAATCATACATTTATGGGGTTTAGATATACTCTTGTGAAAAAGTATTTAAATTAAGCAATAAATTATGCAAGTTAAGTGACTTGCCCGTTCTTGATAGCGTTTTTCAAAGTAAGCCATGTCATCAGCTTCGGATTGTTTTCCATGAGAAACTTGCCCTGTGGCACTTGAACTACCTGAAAACAAAATATAAACAGAAAACAAAACCCCCTTTTTTATTAAATTAATTTTATTAAATTTTATTAAATTTTTTATTAAATTATTTTATAAAAATAAATTACTTTTTTTAATAAAAATTAATTATTATTTTTATTAAACCCCTTTTTCATTAATGATACTCCATTAGATGTGTTTTACATTTGGCAAAACCCATTTAAAATTGGAACTGACCTTTATAGGCAAGTACAAAACCCAGCATTTGGGACCAAAGAAAAACCTTTTTAGTCTAGGCTTGCACCCACTATAAATTGTTTTAAAGGAGTTCTACTGTTATATTAATTGGTACATTTTTGTACTAAATAAGGAACATAAAATAAGTGCAAGTGATCCATAATCCCACACGGAAAAAGCTTTCTGGCAGAAGGCACTTTCATGGGATTGCATTTAATACGTACAACCCATTCAGATATGATGAATTTCTAAGAGGAATTAGGAATTTTAAAAACTGATGCAATGAATACATGACACCATTGACGGGAAAGATAACAAGCACTAAAAAAAAACATAATTTCAGGTAAAAAACTCATCACAAGCAAAAATAACAAGCATTAAGTTATTCTAAGCATTTGAACTACATGAATGTTGCACTAACTTATCACATAGCAAATCTTCAATATTCATTTTAATGCCCTGAGCATCCTGCAATTCATTGATAAAATCAATTCATTATCTATTAAGTTCTTTTTGTATAACTGTATTATTCTACTTATACATCACCTGCTATTTGTGGCATGGTTTGAGCGGAGCTCGAAGGCCCCTGAAATGCTTTTAGAAATGGATGATCCATGCTAGTAATGGGGGCTTCTAAAAGTTCAGCAGAAGGAGCACCTGTCAGAAAATAAGGTGAATGGAAACAATAATTAACTCCAGGAGATACAGTCCTAATACACATGCTGGGGTCAAAACAAGGTTACAGATTCATATCTACAACTCTCAGCACAGACCCCATAAACTGGAATTAACAAAAGCATTACAAGGATGACTTCAAAAGCATTGAAAAGCTTTGTTTCTTCAATTACTATAGTAATGTTTTAGTTTCTAAACTTCAGACAAATCCAGGAATCCAGATCAGAATTTTAAAAACAAATAATGCGTATGTGGCAATAATAGATAAAACAGTGTTTCGGGACAAAACACGTGCGATACTAAATGACAGAAAATTACAGAGCAGAAAAAGCATCAAGACCAAGTAACATGTCTGTTAAAAAGTTCTACCAATTGCCTCTTATTTTTTTTATGCTGAACAGCTATTAGCCTTTCAGTTTGGAAACAAAAGTTCTGTAAATATGTAACAAAGAAATAGCTGGACAGTATTAGGCTAAAGGACGAACATGAATAGAACCTGGAAGTACTAGGTTACAGGAAAGCTACAGGTTCTCTCTAAAGGATATGCTGCCTTTCAAGCAGAAGCAACTGGGTTGAACATCAGAATTGTTGAAAAAGAGGTTTTTTATCAACTTACTACGGTGAGTAGGACAGTGTGATCCCTTAAACCTTGAGGACAGCTGGAAAGGAACAGTCTTTCTGCAGTTCTACCCCTATTCCTCCAAACTGCCTTCAAACTTTGAAACTCTATTTTGATTTAGTACTTTTCAAAACTTAGGTGGAGAATTAAAATTTCAGCTGCACATACCTATTCCACTGTCATCCAGCCTCATGTAGCCCTCTGCTAGTGAGCTGAAACCAGTCAGTCCTCCCATGGCAGCGTAAGGAACATCCTGCCCCACGGGCTTTCCTTGGGCCAGGCGCTCCTCTTTGGTTTCCACAACGGTTTCGTGAGCGTAAGCTGGCTGACCACATGCACAGGTAAAGCTGCTATGAAAACCTGAGCACTTGGAACCTAAGAAACAAATAAATAAGAGAAATGGCGATGGGATTTAAGCATCCAGCTGTATGAAAAGCCTGTATGAAAGAGAAAGGATGACTCCTGGGATTAGATCATTAATCAGAGGATCTTACTGAGCCAAGTTTCAAGTACCTCTGAGGATGGAGATTCCACCTCTCTGAGCAGCCTGAACCAATGCTGGATCAGAAATTTCTTTGTGTATTCTAACTGTATTTCCTATGTTGCAACTTGTGTTCATTGTCACTAGCAGCACACCTATCCATCCACTTACAATGAATAAAAAGAAAAGTTCTGAATCTAGGTAAAGCTGACAACCTGCCAGCATTTTGGCACCATTGCCTCCAAAGGTGTATAGCATGTATCAACGTTGCAGGGCTAAGAAACTTCATACCACAATTTGTTACACAAATCACAATTTAAATATCTTTTTAAATTAGCAACATTTTCTCAGTAGCAAATAGAGACTGTGGAAGCAACAAAATGGGCTCTGTACAGGAGTATCATTAGACTGACTTTCAGGGGTTTTTTAAGCTTACACAGCCAGAGGATGGAATTGAAATAGTTATACAATGTTATATGGCATTCAGAAACAAAGTGACCTGTCTGCCCTAGCTACATCTAAAACTGTCATCAAAGCCCCTCTGGAGCAATGATGCGACCAAGAAATTGAGGAAGTGATGTTGCAAATGTTTCACTATACAAATCACCCTGCTCCCAGCTCCCAGTTCATTTTGTGGAGCACCATGAAAAAATTCTTTAAGTCTTTCCTAATATGTTGATCACATTCTTGAAAATGTTAAAGGTTTTTTCATATTATTTTGAGCACTCCTCAGTAACAGAACTCTATGTTTGGACATAGAATACAGTATATGCAACATATCCAGAGCAACAAGCAGTTACGTTTTTCATTTATAACTTATCTGTCATCTTAGATTTATCAACACAGGACAAGACTAATTCCATTACATTAAAACAAAAGAAGTCCAAAATAGAAGCAATTCTTGGCACTTCACTGCAAAATCCGTAAGCCCTCAGAAGTGTCTGGTATTTTTGAGAAACACTAAGCAAAAGGCATTATATATATTAATATTGAAAACACTGCATTCTGTGGATTCGGTCTGAATTATCCAGCTGCATATCTAAGATTTTCACATTACTTAGTGCAAATTCTTAAAAGGCTGTCATGTAGATATTTTAAGGTTTATTCTGTGGGATACGATTCTCAACCAGCAAAAGCTGCTTACAATTTTATTTTCTGTACAAAATAGAGGCATTCCATGAAAGAAATTTAATAACAATACAGAACTCCAGGAAAAAAAGCCTTCATCTTATGTAATTTGAGGTTTCAAACTAAAACATCTTTACGCATTATTTATTTCCTGCTGTTAATAATTTTTGTTGTTTCATAATATTAACCTCAAACAAATGTAGCAAAGAACTTCCTCTTCATCCCTTCTCTAAGATCTTGCTGAAATTCCATTCCCATTTGCATTTCTAGACCATCAATCTCTATGGCCATGAACAGAGTGCTAGCAACAGAATTATTTGGGAACAGAGTACTACTTCCTGTTGATTTGAGAAAAGACATAAAAATATATTAATGTTCTAGTCAGCTAGGCAATAGAGGAATGGAGATCAATGCCATTGATCTTCTGTCTCCCAAAGTACCAAGTTCAGGTAGAAAAGGCACATGCATGCAGCTGAAATGACAAACTGCAGACAGGGTGCTTTCATACTGTCTGTCTCCATAACCACCTATCTGAAGCACTCAGAGATTTAAACTCCTTCACAGGACCTCGGGAAACTAAGGATGTTGTTCTAAACCCTCCTGTGCAAAACGTGATGTCTTCCTTCCCGCTTCTCATCCTTTCCCGAGGCTGAAAACACGCACTGGAGACAAGAGCAGCGCACACCCAATACCCTGAGCAGAGCACAGATCCCTCCTGCTGTTCCTGCTGAGTTTCCTGGCCAAGGAGGGACTCACAGGAGTTGCAGGGAAAGCCGGGCGCAGCGCTGTGCTGGTCAGGGAAGTGCTTGCAGCGGCAGCGGACGGGCTGCGTGCCGTTCAGGGGCACCAAGTGGAAGGACTGGCACGGGCAGCGCCTCACTCTGCAGGGCACGCTGATGGGGCGCTCCTTGGGAAGCACCTCGTAGTCTGTTTTGTGCTGTTTATACCTAAAACAGGAGAAGTAATGACTTTTATGACTTTCTTGGTATTTATCAGAAAACTACCTGAAAGGCTCGCTATTCACAAGTTTTGTTTTTGAAGTAGCTTTAATTGTACTATTTACTCTTAATAATGAAATTTCAATTAAATGCGTATTAGCAGGTGGTTTTACATCTATTCATTACATAAATATCACATATCCTCATTTTGAGAGCACTACCAGAATCAATCTACTCATGTCTTGCAGCTGAATTTACTGAGACTACAAAATCATTTTGGTTTCAAAAATATATTGACATCTACACGTACAACCAGTTCTTACTATTTAAAACCCGATTTTCTCAACTCTTAAACCTTAAATAAATTTGTCAATGTGCTGCTGTAATGTGTCTAGGAATATTTCACGTTTTCCTGATTTTTAAAAATACTGAAGTGTAAAAGGAGGAAGCTACCCACCGGTGGGTGCAAAAGCACAGTGTCTCTGGTCCCACAAGCTTACAGTCCATGCCAGTTGGTGATCTCCAGCTCACATACAGCCTGTTCTGTAGCCGAGCTGGTAATACTTTTCTTTTGTACTCCTCATATTCCTCAGGAGTAAAGAGCTTTCCTCCATCATCATCACCTACAATTCTGTATGCACGGCATAAAAAAAGCCATAAGAAAATGAAGACAATAAAAGTAGATTTCTCAGATATAAAATATGTATATTCTAACAGAACTTTATCTGTAAATACAAAAGAAATCTTGTATTTCATATTACTCTTCTAATAATTTAACAGAACTATAGCTGATTTTTAGAGAATATTTTTTTGAATAATGCTCTTTTAAAAATTTTGTTCTGATGGACTGAAAAACAGTTCTAAGAGAGAAGAAAAAAATTAACACAGCAAACTACCAGGGGTCCTTTTGGGAAAAAAAAAAATAAAAAAAAAATAAAAAAAAAAAAAAAAAAAAAAAAACAAAAAACCAAAAACCCAAACAACAAGCATCAAGGATCATGTAACCAGCCAGCTCTGCCTCAGACTTCTTGACTGACCTCTGGCAAGTCACTTCACCCATCTACACCAAGCAGTACTGCAAATTTGTTATTGTACAAAACTAAAAGGTCACTTCAAAAATACAAGAGTAGCTATAAACACACCATTTAATTTGGAGCTATTTGTACCTTCATCAGTTTCTTGGCTGCAAGTAATTTTAACTTGTCACCCAGTGCACAAGTTTGAAATCTGGTGTTTACTGATGTATGTGACATTTTTTTTCTTCATTTTTTCTGTATCGCAATTAGCCATGGGGAAAAAAATATAATTGACTAAAGCTTTGCTTGACCAAGAGAGGAATGTTTGTTTGTGTCAGGAGATTGATCTTAGTCTAGTCTGATTATTCAGCTGCAAGCAGGTAACCCCACTGCCATCAAAGCAACAAGCAACACATCCAAGTTGTCTTCTGATTTGCAAGAAGAGTATGCTAGTTTCTGCAGCTGAAGTTAGTGGGGGCTGTATCCCTCAATTAAGCTATCACTATGTTCAAATTCAAGGTCACTGCATAGCTGGAACTCTGAAGCAGAATCCAAATTCTGCATTTATGGAAATAATTAGGGACAATAAATAAAATATGTAAAATACAATTGAGAATTAACTGCAGCACTTACCTATGCTAAAAGTGATTTTATTAATGTCTGCAAATATTTCAGTTATTATTTATTGGATATGCTAAAATATGCTGAACGAGTGATTCTTTGTCAAATATTCTGTGGATTTGTGCACTGCCAGCACTGTACAGAACCAGATTAATGTGCCAACACAGCACTATCATTTGCGTGTCAACCCAGCCAACACCCACTGAATCACTGCACATCTTATGTAAGAAATACCACTGTGCCCTCCTCTGGTGTTTTACTCAAGGTTTTCCTGAACTAAATTAAGATCTCATCTCATCACAATGACTGTGTTTATTTTTGTTCAGCCTTTTGAGACGACTGCTGACAAGACTAGCAAAGACACGCAGCAGTGTAAGGGACCTATACAACGCAAAACTTTGAACTCATGATGCACAGAATTCCTTGTACTCTGAAAGCGCAGTACGGCTGGCAGATTATCAAATAATGGTTTGGACTGGACGGGACCTTAAAGACCACCTAATTCCATCGCCCCTGCCGTGGGCAGGGATGCCGCTGGTAGACCAGATGGCCTCTCACAGCGCATCTCGCGCTGCCCTGGATGCGAGGGACGATTCGCGACTTCACCGCTGACAGCCGCGGCTTGCAGCGCGTCCTCACCGGCGCACACCAGCCTCGGCACCTCCGGCTGCGACAGTCAGCGGCGGGCGGCCCGTGTGGCTCAACGAAGCCGCCGCACGCCCCGAAGCGGCCAATTCAGGAGGGCCGGAGGCGGACATCCCTCCGAGAGGAATCCCGGGCCACGGCCGGCTGCAGGGGATGCGGCACGGCTGGAAACGCCCGGCCCCCGCCCCAGCGACCCCAGCGCGCCGCCTGTGCGCTCACCGCCGGTACTCCGCGTACTCCTCCAGGGCCTGCGCGTCCACCCGCAGCCGCTCCATGCCCGCCGGGCCGCCCGGGGCACGGTGCTGGGAACGGGCACGGCCCCGGCCGCACCGGGCGGCGCCCGCGCACGGAGAGCGGCAGGCGGGAGGCGCCGGGGCAGGCGGGGCAAAGGCGGAGGAGAGGCGGGGGACAGGCAGGAGAGAGGTGGGGGACAGAGGGGGACCAGCGGGGGAAGGCGGGGGGCAGGCGGGAGGCAGCCGGAGGCTGGCGGAGGGGAGGCGGGCGCGGGCGGGCGGCTCGCCGCAGCACGCTCCGCACGGGCGGCTGAGGAACGTGCGGGTGCGGACGGTGTGTGCGGTGTGTACGGTGTGTGTGTGCGGTGTGTGCGGGCAGTGTGTGCGGTGTGTGCGGGCCGTATGTGCGGTGTGTGCGAACGGTGCGTGCGGGGTGTGCGGTGTGTGCGGGCGGTGTGTACGGGCAGTATGTGCGGTGTGCGGGCCCGCGGGCGCGGCCAGCCCCGCGCCGCCGTGCTGTCCCGGCCGCGGTGTTGTCGTTACCGGGCGCGCAGCGGGGCGAGGTGCTGCTTTGTTTCATGCACAGAGCAGGGAGCTAGGTGGTAACGCACAAAAGGCTAGGTCGTCAAAACTTTACGCTATTGATTACATTTTTAACAAAAGCATCGGCGTTCATTGGCCATAAATTGTGCAATTTTTCTACTAATTATTATTCAGCCCCCTGTTTGCTAGTTAGTAGCCAGGCACAGTTCTGCCCATTTGAGTCTGGGGTCTGTTTTGAGTAGGTGGTCGTGTTCGCCCACAGCTGGAATTCCCTTTCCCACAGTTACTGAGTTACAGCTCGGTTCTGCTGGCTTCACTCCTGGTGGCTCTCATCCAGACAGTCCATTCATCTTGGAATTGTCTTCTCTTTTCCTTAAAACAAAAAATTAGCCAAGCATACGACGTTCACAATGCAATTGCTCAAGCATAACTGTCCAGCTATGGCTACTGATTAACAACAAAAAAAAAAATTGCAAAGTTTGATTCAAATCTTGAGGGGCTCGATATCAAGAACAGGACAGGCATGGTGTGCACACAATCTCTGGGACAGCAGTCACCCCCCTGTGCCCCTTGGCATGGACACACTCCCTGAGCAGCTGTGTCAGGCACGGCCGCACACACCCACAAGTGCAGTGACTCAGAAGGGCACCCACAGTCTTGGGTGCCACCAGCCACACAGCACAGCATCCAAGCCCTCCCAGTGCCTGCCCTGCATCCACATCCCCCTCTGCTGCTCCACTTTTCTGGGGGGTAGGTGAGGGGCACTTTTGGTTGGTCATTGATTCCTTTTCCTTTACAAAAAAAACATATGTTCCATTAGAAAATATCTTTTGCTCATAGTTCAAGACTATAGGGAGGCCAACTTTGGGAAACATTCCTAACCAAAGATGGTTCTTAGACTGGCAACCTGTAAGTCCCAATTCCTCTCCATATGCCACAATCAATGTAACCATATTGGAACAACTCCAATGTGTTTTTAGTGTATCTCCCACAGACTGCTATTTCTGACACTCACTCTCTGTGTAAATTGACTGCTTCCCCTTGATACAAACAGACTGGTCACAAAGTGATCAAATATGTGAAGAAAAATATAGTACATTTTCCTTATCCGAGCTTTAGGAAATTGGTATTTAAATCGTGCTCTACCTGCTAGTATAAACTATGAGCCTTCAGACTATCAAATTGAAATCCAAGAGGAAAGGCTTTTTCCATACCATACAATGATACTTCCCTGGAGGAAAAAAAAAAAAAAAAAAAAAAAAAAAAAAGATACAGCAATTCAGGGAAATCTCCACACAGAGTTTTGAACTGGGCAAGCCACCAGCAATACAGCAGAAGGTGGTGAAGAGGAATGTCACAAGGACCATGGCAATGTTTTGCCAAAACATCCCCCAGAAGGAGATGAAACCACAGGGAAACTCTCAGTATCCAAATAAGGTGATAGGGCATATGGTCTGGGCATTTGTCCTGTGGCTATGCCACATGTATAAGAAATTTCAGCAGAGCAGGCAGCACTGCAACACAACACACACATTCTGTCCCACTGAGATCTGAACACAAACAGGTCACCCTCAAAGGCAGGAACATAAGGGAGCAAGTGCCCACTGCACTCAATACATCTTCAAGTAAGCTAGTGGAAAAAAACAAAATTACACCAAAAAAACCTCAGGATTGTCAGGGGAAAATTCAGGGAAGAGAAAATCCTTCCTGACCAAAACTTAAAAAAATAAACAGATGGGGGAAAGGGGACCTTGAAAGCAGGACTAGAAGCTCTGCAGCAAGAGTTTGAACATACTGAGGAACACACTGCTCCACAGAAGCTGCACAAAACGGAAGATCTCTGAGATACCTTATCTGTATGCACATTTTGCTGGTGCCAGAGATCCCAGCACTGCCAGTAAAGGGGGAGGTGTGGGCGTGGGGGATGAGCTCTGGCAAGCCTGGCTCACACAGAATGAGCAGAGCTCCTGTGTCATGGGTTGATGTGCCTCATCCGTGCAAGATCTTTGTCAAAAACAGTCCCCTGAAATACAGCTTGGGTTCAGGGAGAAGAACCAGGTTTCTTAATAAAGCAGCTTTCAGTGAGGGGTACAAATGTTAGTCTATATGTCACTCATGTCAGTGTTTATGCATGAACAGCCAGTGAGAAATTATTGAGACTAGGAAATCAAGTCTTTTTTTTTTTTTTTGTGAGGCATCTGTCTTATGAACTACTTCCCATCAAAAAAATGGAGGATTTTTTTCCCCAGGATTTGATCACAGCAAGTGTTTTGCAATACAGACAGCATTCAGTTTATTAGCACCCAGTAATAAGACCCCCACAAGATCTGCTTGGATCCAAATCCAGATCAGTAGACTTACTTGGGATATAAAAAGTACTTGATAACACAGAAATGGTGTTCTTAGCTAATAAAGGTATCTCAAACACTCTTTTTACTGTTATAGCATGAGTATTGGAATACATTTTGAATTTAGAAAACCCATTTAGAAAACTCATCCCTTCTAGGAAATTGTTAATAGACATCCAAACTAAAATTCATTAAAGCCTGCTCAAAAAACAGATTTTTTTGTAAACTACCAAATAATTTTGAATAGCAGGGGGAAAAAAAAATAAAAATAGAAGGCTTTCTGCTACCGTGAAGAAGCCATGACACAAGGTAAGTAAAAGGAACAGGAATCCAGATGGCATGTTTTACCTCCTGTAGCTGTGATGTAGCATACGGATACTGCTGGCCCAAGATCTCTGAACACATCAAAGTGGGTTGAACATATGGACACATACTTACAGTACAGCTCTGTGAGACCTAAGGTGCTGCCTACACATCAAAGGCAACAGCTTAATGCTTCACAGGGTGTTGACAGTCTCTCTCAACACCCTCTGTTAACAATAAAACGTGTGACCCTTTAAATTTTTTTAAACCCTCACAAATTTGACAAGTGCTTAAAATTATTCTCAGTGAAACATCTATAAATTGAAGATAGCCACTTCACCAATGCAAAAATAATTAATTTAGGAAAAACCTGTTTTAATATTTTAAACCTCAAGTCATCATTTTGAAGTAGTAGTCAGTCATTCTATTTCTATGGATCTGGTCAATGACTATCTGATTAGCTCTTCTGAAAACAAAAAGAATTTAAGAGGCATAAAGCATAACAGAAACAGTCTCTGTCAAATTGTTTCCTCCGTCCACACGTGTTATCAATATCCCAATGTACTTAAAAGTAAATCAAGCAGTACTTTTATAAACTTCTAAGCATGACCATATACTATGCTACAATAAAAATTAGTTTGTGTATTATTAAACCTAGTTTACAGTATTTAAAAGTGTTAACATGTTTTCCTTCAGTTTTGCTTTTAGAAAAACAGAACCCGATTAGACACCAACTGACAAAGTAAGTTTATGAATGCCACAGGGAATGCTCATGTGCAAGTAAGGATCAATTAATAATGACAGTTTTTGCTGGAGGTACTGACAAACACAGTTAGGAAACTTGTAGTAATTAAGATCACTTAGAGATAAGATAATTCAGCAGCATGTGATGCCACTGGTGGTTAAGAGATGTGATTCCTTGAATGTGTGTAATGTGATTTTTAAAATTTGACTTCATTTTAATAACCTAAAGAATATCTTCAAATGCCTATGTGCATGATTGCTAACAAACTGAGATTAGTGAAATACCCATTCAGTACCAGTCTTTTCCACATGAAAAACATAGGAAAAGTCTAATTCACTTTTTTGGCTGCTATAAAGGGAAGTCTCCCATTTTGCCCTTGCCTTTGAAGGTGGCATGCTATCAGATACACTAAATTGAGCCCCAAAATAGCAGACCCTTTGTTTTGTAAAGTACAAAATTATAAAAGAGCACAATCGTTAGGTAAGGAGGGTCATATTTGGATTAATTGTTAATTTACATTTTATATCACCTTTAAAAATACCACACCAATTTTACATAAGAATGTTTTAGACATTCTGTTAATTCAATTAGTCAGTGTATTTTTAGGAATTAAAATGTTTTCAAGAAAACGTAATAAACTGGGATGTTAAATTTTATGCAATCATTTTTCTAAATAACTTCTTGAGAGAAGTACCCAAATTTACTCTGCCTCTGCATTCCCATGAACAAAGGTTGTGACAGCAGCAAACACTCCCAGAACGTGTACCTGCACAGGCGGAGCTTGGTTGCTAAAGCAACTTGCACACATCACAAACATGATGTGGTTTGGAAACCTCTGAATTAGCAAATAATTTTAATTAGAATTCAGATCTATCCAGTCAGCTTCTTCAAATGATTGTGTTACTGAAAAACAAGGATTTAGCAGTCACTTGGAAAAACAGACAACTGTGCAATATGTGATGCACAATACTGGGTGTCAAGGATACTGATGTTTCTCCACACAAAACACAAAAACCTGTATATCCCGGGCCACGTTTCTCTATTTTTAAATTTATTTAATTTAAAACAGATCAGCAAACTTCTGTGATCTTAATAGTGGATAGGCAACTTGTTAAGAGCTGTATCAGTGTGTTTTCAGAGTGTCTGTCCATCTGACCATCCATTCATCTCAAAAGTTTTTTAATGTGGAACCCCTCAGCACTTCTTCACATACAATTGTGAGAAAATATTTTGATATCTTCATTACATTAAGATTACCATGCAGAGATTCAAAACTAATTATTTAGATGAGAAAAGCAACAGAAAGGAAGAATGAATAAAGACAATTTCCCCAAGATTTTTGCCTGCCACATATTTAGTTGTAGAACTCAAGGGCTGTATTGAGACCTGTGCTGTTTCTGTCTATTTAGACAGCAATCAATATATAGTCTTTTCTTTCCATTTTTCTTCATTAGAATTTTTGTTTGGAAGTGAACCTTGTCATTTTTTTTGCTACATTAAGCAATCACTTAGAGGCACAGAAGTAGTGCTAATTACCTAGACAAATCAGCTGATAAACACTCACGAGGCAAATTACAGCTGAGAAAATTCAAGTCCCCTAATTTACCAAAAGATTTCAAAAATAAAACCAAAATACTCCCCCATCCCCCAAATCAGCAGCTGTTTATATAAGAGAGGTTATATGTCCTCCTGCCTTCTAAAGAATAGAAGGAGAAGAAAGAAAAGGAAATAATATCCCAAACCCCATCCAGCCTAAGAACCAACCAACCAACCTCTTTACACAACCTCCTACCTTTGCAGGGCTGCCACACCTCTCACGTGTCCTATACAGGAGGCTGCAGGCTAGAACATGCAGATGTTTCCTTACTACTGTTAACAGGAAAGTCAGCTGAGACCCTCCCTTTACCCCTTCCTTACCCTTTTTTACATTGGTCTGCACACATGAAGTTAAGTTTTGCCACTTGAAAAGAACTATGTGTTTATAGCACAAAGGTTTCGGTTTGTAAAAACCAAGTATCTAGGAAACAAACCAGACAGATGGATATAAAAAAAATCTATCATCTTCACGTTGTCAATCTGCAGGTTCAAAGGAAGTTCTGCACAGATCTTCTTTACTCTTAGGTTAAACAGTGAAGTCTTTGCAATTAAAGATCTAAATAGATCCTTTTATTTTCAATTCTTTCTCCCCTCACCTCTAACCTGAGCAAAGTTTCAGGGCATTAGAATTTCAAGAGCAGAAGAACTCAGTGACTAAGAAGGAAGAATACCAGAAAGAGTACTACTAAAACTCAGAGATGTACAATTTTCCAATCCAGACACTGATCGAGCACATGTAGCAAGAATGACAAGACCATTTAATTACAAACAAACAAACAAACCCAGGAACATTTACAAGTACAATTAAAAATTTATTTTTCTCTTTCTGCATTGAAGTGAGGACATGTTTACACACAATGTGACAAAAAAAATCATCTGGATACTAAGTACTAATTGAGATTGCAATTGTATTTTCCTTTATAACCATTGAGAATATAAGCAGGGAAACAGAAGAAAGGAGAAAAACACATAACTTTGCCTGGTGTATCACCCCGTGCCTCTGGTTTTACTCATCCCCAAAACCTCACTTACAGGACACTTTTGGCAAAAGTCCCTGAACATTCTGTCCCCACCAAACATTCAGTACAGTTTAAAAAACAGGTTCAGTGGCACTTCAATATGATTTCAGTAACATTTGAGATACAGTGCACCCAACACTGCATGCAATTCACTTTGCTGTAAGGCTGACTTAGACATAAGGCAAACATGATCTTAGCTCTCAAATATTCCATGATTAGACACCCTTAGTACACACACCCCTGTAAAATGCAGAGATGCCTTGATTCCCTTCATTGCTTTTCCTTCCGATCAAGAAAGCAATTCAGGCAGACGGTGTGCTATACTAAACTCAAACTACAAGGCATTAAAATGTTAAAACAAACAGCAATGTTTAAAAATAAACTATATTCACATATTCAAAACTTATTTCCATCACTTAAATAATTTTATCTGCAATTACAAAATACATACACTTAAATATCTTTTTAAGAAATAATCATCTAAGATATCACAGACGATGATTTGCTTTTGATAATCTAACTGCCCTATCTCTGGCATAAAGATAAACCTGGACAGTGTTACTACCTAGAATGTTTTCCTATTATAATAAATTTTCTTAAATATACAGTAAATTCTCTTTAACTATTCTGACAGATAGTGCAAATAAAGACATTCTTTGGGTCACAATTTTAAAATATTACCACCAACGCTATCCTCAATTTAATATTGTTTTAGTAAATAAGTAAGAAAATATTTTAAGTGTACACATTTTCTAACATCTGTTTAGCAACACATTTTCCTCAGTTACCTTGGCTTAATGCAGATCACAAAAAATGAATAAACTACAATACTGCTCACCTATCCAAAAGATACGTTATAGTCATACTTAAATAAATATATTTAGAAACCTACCTATAAGTTTCCCATTGCTTTCCACGTATTGTTATTATCCAATGGCCTACTACATCAAATCATATCAAAATATCTTTAGAGACAACAAAGATCACTTCAGAAGCACTGCTCAGAGGCAATGAAATAATGCTTTGGGAACCTAAGCACATGTTAGGCCTACACAGATCCAAGCACGTTGTAGAATACAATAGTTTATGCTTGCTTTAGAGTCAACTACTGCTTTGCCCTAGCCAGAGACAAAAAGCTTATCTTAAATATTATCCATCAATGGTGTAGCAACACAAAGCGGGCCTGTCTGCTATCTGATGTTGCTTGCTGGCTTTGCACGTTTGTTTGAAGTCACTGGCACCTGATGGTTAGTTCCATTAGTGGTATTTGTTGCTGAGCCATTCACAACAATGTAATCAACCTTGTTTTCCAGTTTCACCAGGCGTTGTAAGATGTCATCCAGAAGAACAGCAATTGTTCTCTTAAGATCAGCTGAAGATAATGGAAAAAACAAATTACAGCCTGTTATTTACTCTGCATGGAAAAGAACTGCTATTTCAACATATTCACATCTTAAGACTTGCTATTCTGCCTAGCATACTTTTTGGAAAGGAATGCAGATTGATCAAGAAGTACAGAATTAAACAGCTGCTTGAATTTTCTTTCATAACATTCCTTTGTTATTTTAGGGAAGGAAGATACCACCATAACAGGGAACTGTGAAGGCAGCCAATTTAATATTAGAGTATAAGAGCAAAAACACTAGTTGGAACATTAGAAGTGGCTATTCAAAAATATTATTTAATTTTTCATCCAGATAACAGCATTGGAATACTCAGCTATGTCATCTTTTAGCCTTGGATGCCAGAGAATATATCTAAATACTTTCCAGCATAAAAAAAGGTAGTTAATAGCTTTCCCCTAAATGACAGATTTCACCCATAGAAAAGCTGTTATTAGAAGGCATCTTATTGCTTCTTACGTAAGCTATAAAAGAAGGGTAAAAAAAAACTATTTACATCTTTATTGACTGAAAAACAAGAGAAAAGATGGTAAAAAATTCTCATGATCTGGAACAAAAAAACAGTAACATCTTTCAATAAAAAACTATTTATGCTGTTGCCAATCACCATCTTTTTCAGATTTGAAAAACACTACCAAACTTACCAGGTTTTACAAGGTGTTAAGATTGCCCTTACACACAAAGAAATCTACAAACTCTGTCTCTACCCCCTGCCCTCTATCTAATCAGTTAACTAAGCAGAAAGACTGGGGAGAAAGAACACAGGCATCAAAGTGAAAAAAATAGGAGTAAAACAGATAAAATTAAAAATTAGTAGTAAATTAAATTTTAAAAAAATAAGTACCTCCCTCTAAAATTAACTAGCTCTTGTTTAGTGATGCTTACTTTGAAAAAAAAATTGCTAAACAACTCAAGACAGAGCAAGGTCTGCTGTCAATAACAGAGGGTGGGTCATGTACTCTGCAGTATCATTTTGTGCTCAACAATCTGATGGAGGGAATTGTCAAATTTTAATTCTGATGATCAGCAGGTGGATCAAGAGATGACTGAAGTTTAATATAAACTTCAGACAAAACCACAGAAGACAAGTCTCATTTGGAAATATGCTGTAAGACTTATAGAGCAGGAGAAAGCTACAGTACACAAGGATTTTTTTTTTTTTTTAATGACAGAAAAAAATAATTACACAGTAAAGGAAGGAAGTCCTTGATTAAAAAAAAAAAAAGGTGGGAGGAGAAAACAGGGAAGAAAAGAGAAGGTAGTCTCTTACTGTGATAAAAATTAATTTTAAGAATGAAAAGATTAGAGGTTTGAACACTTTTTACTCTCCTGTTCCTCTTGGGTTGTTCCTGCACATCTTGTCATCACAGACTTGCTTCCTTCTTCCTTAGCAGCAGCAAAAAGACTTCAGACACATTTTTGCTGCTTGCACTCTTATCAAATGCCTGCAAAGGGCATCCTACCAGTCATTTAAGCAAATCTTAAGGGGATCAAAGTTCATTACTATACGTCTTTTCAGATACTATTGAGATACTATTTGAGATACTATTTTTTAAAATAAACAATTCTAGTTATCTTTTCAATATTGCAGCAGATAGTAAATACTGGCAACCTATTTATCAAGCTTGCACAAGACAGGCAAGTCAGAGATATGATGCACCAAGTATTACAGCTCACAAGAAAAGGGACACTGTCTCTTATGGCTACTTGTAAAACAAGGAGAGATTCTGCCAAATTCATAACTGCCTTGCAGTCTCCAGACTGCAAACTCAACTAGTATCTTGCTTTTTCATTGCTTTTTTAAGGTGAAGAAAATTCAAGAAATAAAAGCAGGAAGTTACCAATGAGGTACTAGAAGAATCTGGAATGTTGAAGTGACTTTTATATAAACTTTGTCCCTGTATCAAGCACGTGCTTATTCGTTAATAGCTGAAGATTCAGAAACAGACAAGTGTGCTGTTGCTTCTCTAAGTAACTGTATTCATGTACCTGAAGAGATCTAAAAAAAATCCTGGAAAGCAAAAATTTCATGTATGAAGCTTGATTTTGCAACTCATCTTAATCTTCAACTTCACTGAATAAACTAAAATCAAATCAGTTAATACAGAGAAGTTTTTTTCTGCTGAAGAACATACACTACTTTAAAAATAAAGAAAATTCATAACTTTACAGTTTTTTTAGAGAAAAATAATATATTCAAGTAACTAGTATGGCTTTTTTCCTCTTACCATATCCTGACATAGAGGCTCCACCACCACCATTCATCAGGTTTTTATTTTCTTCTGCCAGTGCTTTGACATATCTTTTACTGAGATCTAATATCTGTCCACGCAACTCAGCACTGCTTTGGCGTCTTGGATACTGAAAAGTGTAGCGTAGCAACATCAAACCCCAAATGATTCCAAAGATTAGTAAAAACATACTCAGTTTTTGGGACATATTTTTTCTTGAAAATGTTAGAAACATTTCTGATGAAGGCCACAGGCACGTCCTAATTTCAGGAAAAGTAACTGAATTTGGCTTTGTCTAATTATATTACATATTAAACAAAAATAATATTTCTATAAAGTGAAAAATCTTCTGGCTGGATCATCTTGAATAGATCTTCTCATGTTTTAGCTGGTCTTGATTCCTGAAATTTGTAAAGTACCACTTGGTTATTCAAAACTGCTACAGCTATTGATATCAAGAACAAATATCAGTTTTCAAATACAGTATTATTGCATCATCTAACAAACAAGTTCTTTTATCTGCTTAGAGGTTCAGTTATATTTCCTTCTCACCTGTTATTTACAAGGTTTCTTCTTCCTATTTTTACAGATTTTTACTCTCCAAAAATCAAAACTTCTGTGCTTCCACAAAGCACCACAAGTATTTTAAATATTGTAATTTAAACTGATATTGAACTCAAATGCATTTGAAAGAAGATGCAGTATCTAGAAGAGACCTGTATAACATTTCTGTACAACATGGTGATGAGTTATACACATACATCTAAACACAAGATCTTGTGAAATTATTCATTTGATTCTTATTCTTCACTTTGAAGTACAGTGCAAGTGTGAACAGACAACACTTGGTTGGTTAGCCAGTTCAAAGCTTCCTCTCCTGACTTTATTCAATAATAAGGCATCACAACAAATAAAAAACCTTAATGGTGTACAAAGAGACAAAACTAAAATAAATTGGCACATTGCATTTCAGCATTTTACTTCGACTTTAAAAAATGTCTTACCATAGTATACCCAATTCTGATCCTTCAATAGATGAAGGCTTCAGGAGGAAAGCAAATGGTAGGAAAGCTTCATCAGTTAAATAACAAATGTTCAGACAGTTGGAAGCAGTTTGAGCCACACATCTTCAGGAATGTCTGTCCTGGGGAAAAAAAAAAAAAAGATTTAAACAAAAAGTGAAGATATCTTCATTTACTTGTGGAGTAGTTGCAGTCAAAGGCTTCAAGATACATGCTTTTAAAACAGAACAACATTTTCAAACCTAACTTCAAGCAATTGTTAGGGAAGAACATAGAATTACTCTCCATTTTATTATGAATGCATGCACTTGAATGCTCAGTAACTGACTTCAACATACTTCTAAAAGAAGGCTTGGTAACAATCTCATGAGCATCTCCTTCTTCTTCTGTTATGAGACAGTGACAACAGATGTTCATCATATATGTACATGCACACATATTTACACAGGCATCATTCTCTTACTAATTTTTACCCCACAAACAGATCCCACATTTTTAGACTCTTTCCATGTGCATACTTCATATTTCTCATTTTTCATCCATCTCTGACACTACTCCAATTGTTCAATACTTTCTTAAAAGAGGTTTTCTATTATTTAACATCCAGATAAAGCTACCCATTTTACACAATAGTTACACTTTTCCTCACTATTCCCAGTTCTTCCCCACGTACTACCTGACACAAGCACCACTTAGACTGAAATTATGCATGTAATAGAGACCCTCACCAGACTTTCTGTAGTGGCACTTACACCTCGGTTTGTATCAGAATATTGAGACCGAGTTTCTCGAGCTGCTGAGCTCCCATCTAACCCTACCTCTGCCTCCATGGCACTTTTCATCCCCTGCACTGGCCAGTTCCATCAGCCTTATGCCGACACCCCGCTGTCTGCTGCCAACACAAGTGTGACTGCCAGCAGGGCGCCGAGCGCTGCTTGTCGCTTACCCTTCCCTCTCCAGATAATCCTCTCAACAGGCGAGCCAGCGCGCCTGATTCAAGTGGCAAATTTCTGAAGTGCTCTAAAATCAACATGCATATCTAAATTATTCTGAAAATGATTAACCCAAGGCAGGGGCGACATCAGGACCTGGACACCAAAGCTGACATAAAGTAACAACCAGCTGTGTGTAAAATGCCATATGGCAGCCACTGCCAGTACATAAACTGACTGCTGGGTGCACTAGTGCCAGTGGCAATCCCTAGTCACTGAATGAAGAACAGCTCAGCTCACCCTCCACCGTGGGGTATGACTGTGCACAGGGACAGACAGCCAACATACAGCAATTTGAACTCCCACTGTAAATGCAGTGGGAAGTACTCTGTTCAAGGAATGTGCTTAATCCCCTTAAAACTGGTTTTAAATACTAATTTGTCTTAAGAACATAAAATAAGTGGGAAAACAATAAAAATTTACATTCCATAGCATGAATATCTGGAATTGTGTGGCTTAGGATTTCCTGAAACAGATCTTCCCTAAACATGCACTAACCAAAACTTCTTTTCCCTAGCTCTTCGCCAAATCCATGGCTCTGCACTCAGACTTCAATGAATAAACTGCACCTACATCATTATGTATCTATATTATCTCTGAACAGTATCAAAAATGATGCAAAACATTATGAGGTCCAGGAGAAGAGTATTCATGTGATGGCTCAGAAGACCAAACAGTATCTCTCAAGAAGACATCATAAGTTTCAAACCCCATTCCCAACAGTCTCTACTTTTTCTATTAAAAAAAAAAAAAAGAAAAAAGAACAAATAGCTCTTGCAAAACTTAAATTGAGTTCACCTCTCCACAGATCTCCAGCCATATCTCATCCTGAAGCATTTAGACAATACCACTACAGTCCTTTGGAGTAGAAATAACTCTGCCATCACACTGTAAATAAGACCACAAGCCAGGATAAGAGGTCTAGCCAAGAGGAACAGATTGAATAAACTCCTGCCAAGCAGCAGCAGGAATTGCAGACTGGGCCATCGCCATGCATATCTGATTCACAGTGCACACACTGACTACTGAAACTAATGGAAATCAAGCACTTAACCTGCTGGGAAATTGCATAACACCCATATACTGACACAAGGCAAAGGAACTCAGAGCAAGGATTACCAAAATGAAGGGAACTATTTGTACTTGCCACTTTTGCTACAAATTTTTAAAGGCCATTCCCTCTTCATGAATTGCAGTGTAATCTCAAAATTCTGGAGATTTGGTCTCCTCTTTCCCCCTGAAATGCATGCACTTCTAGTGACTCATAAGACACTCCCTGCAACACCCTTTGGGAAAAAAAAATAAAATAAATTAAAAAAAAAAAAAAAAAAAGTAAGCTTATGCCCAAATGATTTGTAAGTAGGAAAAAAAAAAGAGTATTGGAGCAGCAGGCGCACATATTAGGAAGGAAATAGCACAGTAAGATGGATGGACTGGAATATTCTTGTACCTCTTGTTGCCCTGAAGGGTCAGCACATCTCTACAACTACATTATAGTTTCAAAACTTCTAAGCTCAAAACTTGGGCCCAGAATGGACCTTTGTTTTCAGTAATTTAGAGGCAGTATCCCATAAGATACATGCACACATGAAAGAAAGTAAGTGTACTTTGTGATCTTTATTCTCCCTCATTCTCTCAAAGCACACAATATGCTGAGTTGGAAATCCTCCCTGAGCAGGAAAAAAAGGAAGCTGAGACTTCCTTCTTCACGCTGATTTATCCTGGTTAGAAATGCTGGCACACAACTCTTCCAACCGCAGCTGAGGGACTTTTGTGGCAAAGGCAAAGCACTGCAGAGAGCAACAGGAAAAAGGATGCATCACAGCTACACCTTGCTACAATTCCTACCACCATCTCTAATCACAGAGACTGAGACAAAGGCAGACAACCGTAAAGATGAAGCAGTACAACCAGAACAAAATTTGAAAATCTGAGGAGGGAAAAAAAAGATACAAAACCCCAAAACAAAACAAACCCAAATCAAACAAAACCCCTGAGTTGACTTCAGGCAAAATGGCAATTCAAGAATCCATGAAGAAAAGAATGTCTTCCACATAATCCTTTCAATTAGTAGCCTAAAGTAACTGAATCAAGAGCCAGTTTTCCGAAGTACTTTAAATCAACATGTATATTTAAATTATTCTGAAAGTTACAAGCCCAAGCCAGGAGCAACATTAGAATTTGGAGCTACAACCAATTCCTGAATGAGGAGCTGACACTAGGTTTGCCTTTCACAGACATATAAACAGCTTGGTTTTCTTCACTGTTGATTGTCTAAAAAAAGTATTACCAAACCAGCCAATGTGGATAAACTTTGTCCAGTGGTACCACAACACTGAAATCCATCTGGCAACAAAGCAATGAACTAAGACACTCATCCACTCCAAAATAAAATCATGTCTCTAGCCTGCATTCCTGTATTTCAAAATCAGTCATATATAAATTACATTATTGACTACATGAAACAAAAGGAGCAAAGACAAAACAAAAAGCTACAGAAAATGTATTATATGTTCCATAATATAGCAAAGTTATACTTAACTACTACTTAACTAGCATCAGACTTCAGTTTGAATACTGACCCTTCTTCACGGTAACTAGCCCATACTTACAAAACATCCTTCTTGAATTTTGTTGCAAAGTCTTCCTCTTTACTCATTCCCACAAAAACCAAGAGATTATATTAACATGCAACACAAAAATTAAATGGTCTATAATGCAAAGGAATGACTCGTACATGCTCTGAAAACAAGGCATACCTAAACCCTTAAAAGCTTATTTCACCTTACAGCACTGTCACTTCTGCCAGCCAATCGGCCCCTGAAAGACTGGCACATATTCATCATCATTTTTCTAGCCTGCCCAAGAGACTCCAAACTTCCTAAACCACTAGAAATGGTTGCAGGGCAAATTTAAACCTGTCCTGCAGAGATTATTTGAGTACCTTCTAGTTTTGAAAAATGTACAGGACAGGTGACAGTAATTATTTGTAAGAGAAAAAGAAAGCAGCAGGTCCATCAGGTATTTTTGGTAGGTGTTAATAAGAAGTTTGCAGATGCAAAGAATACAGAAAACCAAAGCCTGAGAGAAACCTATTTGTTTCAAAGATCAAAAATACTTTTAAGAATAAAGCCAAGAAAAATGCAATGAAAAGAATATTGTTAAGATACAGTCCAATAAAGTCACCTTTTTTGTCATATATTTTGAAAGACAGAATCTCAAATACAAAGGCAGCAGTTCCTCAGTGATACTCTAGAGACCTAGTCTCTAATGCACTCATATATTAGGAAAGTAGACCTGATAAGTGGGAATTTTACTCCATCTATTACTTACTACCACAATATTTATCAGTTCCTCACTTTCAAATGATGATAAACAGCAACAGGACACTATGCATTCGAGAGCAGATCTGGCTTTGCAACCAGATAAACTGCATAAAAAGAAGTGATTTATCAAGACAGAGCTTTAAAAAAAAAAAGCCATATACAGTCCTTGAGGCATACATCCAATTAAAGAGCAAGTGGAAAAAAATCTTGTAATAGAACAGACAGAAGACAGAAATCAGGGACAAAAAAAGCTGACATTAATAATAACATTAATATGAATAATTAATAATAAAATAATTGTACAGTACAAAATCAGAATTTATTACCATCTCAGTTTATGAAATTATTAACAATTTTAAATTACCACAGTAAAATTACATCTGTACAAGAAATTACTATTAAATTCATGGCAACAAATATCCCTCAGTACAGAGAGGGTACTGTATCAGTAAACAAATAACTGTCTCTAAATATGCAGAGTGATACCTCATCGCAAAGCCAACAAACATTTCAGGAAGACAAGAATCACTGGGCATTACAGAATACCAGGAAAAAAGATTTCACAGTAGCATCTATCTCCATTCTATTATTTTCCCCTCTTTTGCATCTATTTACAGAGTGCACCCTCCGGCCCATTTACCTCTGTCACCTCCAAAATATTTTGTTTTCTAATTTTCCAACAGAAAATTTTGAGCATCACTCAGCTGAGAGGAATCAATTGTGCTGACCATTCTGAGAGCAGACAAGTTGGTTCTATGTTATTTGGAAAACCCTCAGTCATTTCTGTGAAGCAATGCAAATGGGAAGTCTAAAGAATGACTGACATACAGCAAAACACTACAGAACATATTCACTACTCAATTAATTGTAAAAGATTGAGACAATGAAATAAGCAGCTAGAAGCCCAGGAGCTCACATGCTGAGGCTTTTTGGAATGCCAAAAATGATACTTGTATTCTGGTAATTTGCAGTCTTAGATGGTTGTTGGTTTGTCAGTAGGTGAAAAATCTACATGAGGTGCAGCTGGCAAACAGGTGCCCAGAGAAGTGAAGTGTTTACACAGAGCCCTGGTTAAAACCGGTGTGTAAGGAAGAACCACATTCCTCATATTTTTATGAGTACACAAGTTCTCAAGAAGAGGCCAATGAGACTGCTATCCTGTACTGGCACATCCATACTGGTGACTGTCCTTTGGTTCCCAGGTTCATTAATCAGGTTCACTCAGACAGCTGCACAGTGCCATAAAAGAGCAGGACATTCCACTTGGAACCAACCACTAACAGCAATGCCAGTTCCCAGACAAGCAAAACCACATTAAGCTGTCTTTTGATAAAATTTACTCTCAGCACTTCAAGTATTCCTACTATTGCTGCTGTAAAATTTGGTCAACAGAAAAATATCACAGCAGAGAGGGAAAAGAGGATCTGTACTGACAAAACATCAGCAATGCCTGACATAACTCAGCCCACCAAAACTGAGGCAACTGATGAAACTCAAGGGTCTTTCCAGACTGCATCACAGATGAGTAGATAGAAGAGACCATTTATATTAATGGCTGCTACACTCATGTGAAAATATTAATGCTATTAAACATGCTGCTATCTTAAGAGCAGGTAAGAAGGCACACTTCTGGGCAAATAAAGCTGCCCTACCACTATGACGGCTGCTGGGCTGTAGGTTTTAGCAGTTTCTGTACCACTTTCAGAGCATGCTGCCAAAGAAGTCTGCCTTTGTGTCTTTTCCAGGACATCTATCTTTATATCTTCTCCTACAGCATGTCTTCCTTCATTCCCTGCTTCTACATGCCCAAGATTTGCAATTACCTTGGCACACTGAAAAAAAAAAAATCCTTTTGTCTTGTTGCTAGCTGCCTTTTGGGGAACACTTTAATGGATATTCCAAATGAAAGAAACATGAAGTTTAAGGGAATAGCAAAACTGGGTAACTACCAAAAATATCTACTCTTCTACAAAGAAAGAAGAAAATCTTATGTGCTCCCAACAGCTCCTGTCTCTCGATGCAGCCAAAGGATATATGGGCCAACAAAAGTCACAGCTCATCTAGCAGACGCAGTGCTGCTGCTGACGAGTTGCTGGGACTACCTCAAACATATCCTACACCAGGAACGGTTTTACTTCCTACAGGCTTCTAAGAACAGCACCAATTTGTTTTGTAGATGAACTTGGAGTTGAGAGCACAAACATATTGCTTTCAACTTGAAAACCCACACAGCAAGCTTACAGTGGCTCTGGTATAAATTTATCTGAGAGCCCAAACACTAGACTACCTTTTATAAGTATTTTAGAAATACTGGAAAGCTGTTTCTATTTAAATGCATGCATTCCTATTTTCATTGCTTTTGTTTTACACTTTCTACCAATAATTATTTTCATTTTGCATTGTGTCTAAGAAGTCTTCTCAAGTACCTTAGAGTATCTTCTTTTTTTCAACACCTTCCCCTTTTATTTTGCCTACTATTGCCAATGAATGTTTTTAAAATAAACCAACCATTTAAAAACAGAAATACTTTGTTCCTTGCCTGTGGGCAGTCAGCCAAGATCCAAGATTTTGAGGGGAAAGGGCTTGGCAAGGCTTGTGAAGAAAATTAAAGCAAGCAGATATCAATAGGGACAGTATATCAATAGGGACAGTATGCTACACTTTCTGAACTTGCCCTCCTCCCACTGGGCCTATAAACATTTCTACGTCTCTGTTTCAGATTCTTAAAATAATAATAGAGAAAAAAGTATTTTAAAAAAAAAATCTCAGCTTAATTTTCCCTGGCACACTTTTCTCTATTTTGTCTTCATGCTTTATTGCCACCATTCAGGTCCCTGTAGGACCCTTGCTCCTTGAGAAGAGTCACAACAGAGCACAAGGCACTTTCTTGGCTTCTCACTTCCCAGTAACACTGCCACGATTTATTAATGGCAGGCTACAACAAGTAGCCCATAGTACTCCCTTGTGAAATTTCACAGCTGTCCTTGTATCGCTCTTTCCAAAACCCCTGAGACTCCAAAACTTCCTCCTGAGATGTTTAGCTAATTTTAGTTTTACAGAGAGCCAAGCCTACAAATGATGCATGTATGTTACTGGTAAGAGAGGGACTTTCACTGAACGTTTTAAAGAGACCTAAAAGGAAGGCAGGTGTCATTAAAGAGAATAAAGAGGGGAGGGGGGAGACAACTAACCAAGTGACAGCTGCAGTGGGGGAGAGATTGCCACTGCTCACACATGTACACACAGTGCACCACACAAACACTATTCCTGTAGAACGGCAACAAAAAAAGCACTTGTTCCACTGGGGAGAAGGGAAGAATTTAACTTGCCTGATTTTCTTTCAAGAAACCTGTACAATTCAAACTGCATATGAATTTGTCCACCAAAATTATGTTTCTCTGGTAAAACTGCAATAGAGATGAGGCTTTGGATTCATGCTCCTTCCCAGTAGGCTGACCCAGGTGAAGATTTCAGAAAAATAACACTGGAGGAAATGTTACAGTCAAGTGATTTCTTCTACATCTTTTCTTCTACAATCTTACTTTTAGATTGACTTGTCAGCTCAATGTAGCATAATAATGGATTATGACAGACATTTGTTATCTGTAACACCTCAGTGCTGTGCACTGCAAAATACTTTATTCTTACATTAAGGAAATGTTAAGGACGTTTCTGAAACATTAAGGAAACATTAAGGAAAACGTACCCAAATTTAACCAGATTATTTATAACATGGTAGCCTCCTATTTCTTTAGTATTACTGAAGAAACCAATTTCATTGGAATAAGTTTTACATTTCCTCGTCAATGCCCCTGGTTCAGGCCCTCTTTTACATGGGCAAAGCACCCATTCAATTCTAAGCAATCCAAAATTATTTTCTAAATTACATATGCAAATGCTAATACACCTATTTTTTGTAAAGTTTATAAAGTTTTTTTAGTAAATCACAGAAGAAAATATAAAAGGCTGCTATTAATAATGCTCAGTTGAGAAAACCCAGCTCATAAAATGGCACAAATTATAAACCACAGGTGAAAGAGGTTGTTAATAAACAAACAGCATATAAAGTACATTTTATCAGTAAACTTGTACCAGGAAAAACAGATTCATTTGAGTGACTGAGTCTCACAGATTTTTCACAGCTACTGGAAAATGGCTATTTTTGACACTTACTAGTTTTCAGATACGTTGACTACACAGCTGACAATTTTAGCTGACAGCACGCATTCATCCCACTTAGAGTTTAGGCAAGATGCAAGAACTAGAACTTTACTATTCTCAGAAAAGGTACAAGTGATTATGAACTCCAGAGGAAATATATTTTAACAGCTAAATGACATCCAATCCCCAAGATGCATCACAATTTGTGATTAGCTGATACCAATGCCTCCTTCAAGGAGATAACAGCCAAAAGGAGTCTCTAAAAGCAGATACTACAAAAGCTTTAAAAAGGAAAAGCTGGGGGGAGGGGGGGGGGAGGGAGGAGAGGGAAGAAAGGACCAAAGGAATTCCAGCATAATTGCTTAATTCTCTGGAGCTCTCGAGTACCTATTAAACAGCTGCAGCTTTTGACACCTAAAATACCAAAAAGAGGTTAGATAACTTAGGTTTTATACACACGGGTATCTGCAGTCAAAACAGGAACAAAGATAACAATAAATTTCTACATTTGGTCTAAAAGTGCAATCCCAGCGCTTGTGACACGAACAGAAGATGCTACTCACAATCTAATACCATCTTCATATTGTCTCCTTTCTCTGATAGTCTCATGAGAGTAAAACAGCAATTCATTACATCTGTTCCAAAATTAACACTAATGTGACACTTAGGACAAATCACATGCACACTAGAATGTACATCATGTTCACATTCTCAGGGTTCTCTTGAAATAAAAAGTTGCAATTCCTACAAAGATCGCTTTTCACAGTGAAAAAACACATCCGCCTGCCCCCAGTTCACCTACTGGGGGGGGGAAAACAACAACAGAAAAAAAACTCAAAACAGCAACCAAAGAGATCTAGCTAACCCAATCTGAACAGTTCTAAGGAAACTCCACATCATGTCATAGCATAGAACAAAAATCATCTATGCTTGTTTTGTGGCACACAAACACAGAAATTACACTGCACTCTAGTTGTCAGTATCTTTTAGATGACAAGAGACATAAAAGAAAATTTACAGGATGATACCATGTTAGGTAAGGAAACTGAAAAGAGAGTTTATTAATAATGAATGATGAACAAAGTTACTGAAATAAGGTGGAGATAATAGTACGTTAAACATGTTTACCAAAATCGAAGGTAAGTGCAGCCAAAGCATCATCAGATGTTACAAATAAAACCAATTTTATTATATGTAGCACTGTTCTGCAACTCTTGCCGTCAAAAAATTCCATACATTATAATCTCCTAAAACTGAATGTTTCAAATCTTGCAGACTTCATTCAATATTACTTTTTCCTATTTCTTCAATGGTACCAACGAGACAAATTTCAGTGAAATATTTACCCGTTTGTTTTGGGTTTTTTTTACGCAGACTTGCTAGCGCCGGAAGATCACTTAACCTGACATTGCTAAGGATCCTGCGTTTGCCTGAATATGATTTTTTTTTTTTTCCCTTCCCGTGAGTTCCATCGCATCACTCTAATCATGCTTTACCTCTCTGGAAGTTATGTCCTTACAGCAGAAGGCATCGATCTTGCAGAGTCACTGCAGTCATAGCTTAAGACTGGAAGCCCACTGCTGACGGCGAAGGAAACCAGAAAGCCCTCGTTTGCTCCACCGCTCCCTCCCCGCCCAAGGACACTGCACCGCAGCCCCGGGACACGGGTCGCGGCCAAGGAACCCGGCCCCAGCACAGCTCACCGCGCCTGCCCTCGGCGGGCCCGCACCGACCCCGCCGCAGGCACCGGGACCCGCCGGGGAGGAAGCCCGAAGGAAGACGAGCCCGTCCCGCAGCTCCCGAAGGAGGGGCGGGCCAACGCGGGTGCTCAGGCGCGGCGCGCACCCGCGAGTGCGGGAGAGCCGCAGCCAGCCCGCGCCATTCCGGTCCCAGCCTTTCCGCCGTGAAAACAAACACGGACGGACGGGTGGGCGGACTGACGGGAGGACGGGTCCCCACACACACACACTCCCGCCGCCCCGGCCCAATGCGCGGCTCTGGGGCTGGGCAGGGGCAGGGGTCGGGGTCGGGGCCTGCCCGGCCGGGGCCGCGGCCGCCCCCCAGCGGCGGGAGGGAGCTGCGGCAGCGGCGTGAGGGGGCGGGCTCCGCGCCCCGCGGCTGTGCGAGGAGTTTGTCCTCATCCGTGCTCTGGGCATGTTTCATCTAGAGAAGACTGAGAGGGGGGTCTCATCAATACTTTTAAATATCTCAAAGGCGAGTGCCAAGAGGATGGTGCCAGAGTTTTGGTGGTGCCCCGCGACAGGACGGCGAGCGAAGGCCGTGAACTAACACACAAGGTCCACCTCAACATGAGGAAGAAGTTCTTCGCGTTGAGGGTGGCCAAGCACTGGAACAGGCTGCACAGGGAGGTCGTGGAGTCTCCTGCTCTGGTGACATTCAAAACCCACCTGGACACATTGCTGGGTCACCTGCTCTAGGTGACCCTGCCTGGGCAGGGGTGGACTAGGGAATCTCCAGAGGTCCCTTCCAACCCTAAGGATTCTGTGATTGTCCAGCTGGGGTGGTATATAACCCCCGCTGCCCACCGTGATAATCGCCTAAATAAAATTCATTGTGAGTGCAGGACTGTGCTAGAGACTCACCCCAGGCTCTTCCTGCAAGGTGCTGTTTAAAGGAAGCTGGTGTCCATTAAGGAAAGGTGAACATGAGGGCAAAGTAAAGAACACGTTCAACAGCTGCGGAGGTGACAGCATTCAGAGGTACCTGTTGGTCACCTTATCTGGATCCCTTCAGCGTGCGTTTCCCTCCCTCCCTCCCTCCCACATGGCTTCTCCTTGCTTCCAGCCTGCGTATTCTGCATGGGTTAGCTGCAGGAAAAATCAGCATTTAAATGCAATGCTGTTCTAGAAAAAGGGACAATGATACATCAGAGCGGTTAGTGGTCTAGACCTAAATATACAGACAAAACTCCTGGCAGGTGCTATGTCAGCTGATGAATCTGAGATGTGTGATAAAAACTATATGACAAAACAATATCAAGCACAGTGTCTCTTTTCAGTGGCATATGAAAATCACACCTTAAAAGTGTTGATATAGTCCTTTCATTTTGGGTAATAATACTCTTGATATCATTTCAAGGGGTAGATAAAAGCCCAGGATTGCAGGTATGTTGAAGTGTTCTGTATTATTTGTCAAAATAATAATAAATTTTAAAAACCCACCAGAATTAGATTGCTGCTGCAATGTTATTTCATTCTCCTGCCAATCATTATCTGTAGACGCTCCTTTCAAATTTAATTTGCATAGCTATTGCTCCGTCCTTTTTAAATATGTATTAAGAACTTCCTCTCCCAATATGTTTAAACTGCTAAATGGTAATGGCTAGAGAACAGCACACTAATCAATATGCTGTGAGATTAGCATAGCTTCTGCTTCCTTGCTTAAGTAGTTAATCCTATAATCTGTATATGCAGATAAGAATACATGCAACTTTATACTTGCTTTACTGCCACTCCTATTTTTCCCTGATCCCTTACCAGTTGTTTATACCCTTTCCCTTTAGGGAATGGGCCTGATCTGGGCCTATCTTTCCCCCCAAAGTGTATTTTTTTCCAAATACACTATACTTACTACTGCATTAAAGCTAACACTGTATTAAACCAGTGTATTAATATTCCTTGAAAAACCTCTATAAGGCATGCTTGAAAAACATGTAATTATGTCATGTTAGTGTATCCTTTAGGCCATCTCTAGATGTTTTCTGTGTTCAAACCATCTTCCATTTAGGAGAGACACTCCCAATGACCCAGATCAACCTGGGAGTCTTTCTAATAAATAGTGAAAGCTGAAATATAATATAAAATAATAACTGTCTTTATGGTCCAGGAAACTACAGGTGAAGTCATTGTAGAGTGAGGTCATTGTAAAGAACAATGAAGGCAGATAAGTTACAGGGAAAAATGGTGAAGGCAGCTTGTAGTTTTCAATTCAAAATGTAAAATTGATTAGACTTTTGAAAAATAGGTATTTGCATCAGCAACTGCCATTTTTATTTTAGGTTTAATTGCCAGAACATTTTAGGATAACAGGAATGAAAAAATTCTGCTAGAATAATGCAAATGTCTTGAATGTGTGCATCAGGTCTAGACTAATGCGCAGGAACTGAAATCACAAAGTGGACTGTAGCTAGATTTCATACATGTACATGTTAACAAAAATTGTATTCCTGTCCTCTATTCTCCTGAACTTTTCCTCCCTCTGCAGCTTGTTTTTGTTTTGGTTTATTTTTTAGTGTAACCATTATGTATTTTCATTGGGTCCTTCATGTTCCATTTTTTTTTTCAGTGATCCATTCTAAGGTAGAAGACTGATTGGTATTTTCACCTCAGAATTTAAGCATGTCTTTCCTGCTCATTTCTTTTTGTTCCTGTAGTTAAAATATAGGCAACATCAGACAGGATCAGAATATGGCAGAACAGTATGTGATCTTGCAGTAGAATAAGAACTTTATTAATAATGTTACATTTGAAAAGGGAGATGAACAAATCTATGTACCAGAGCTGAACTGAGTAGAGCTGCTATAAAAGACAGATTATGACATGGATTCAGAATTGTTTTTACATCAGCAGAGGCTAAAACTCAGGCCAGCCTCCTAGGAATGAAAATTTAATTGTAATTAAACAGGAACTGACTAAGGCAATGACTGAAACTATTTAAGTAAGTGACGTGCAAGAAACTTTTACCCAAAACTAAATATTTTGCAGACCTAGATGACAAGGAAGACTCATCCTCAATACTACCTTCTTTACCATTGTGAGATAATTTACTCTTCAATTGATTATTTGTTTCTGAATCACCGAGGAAAAAGAGCAAGGGCTGGCATGTAGAGTTCCAGCCTTCCATTTACAACAGAAGCACAAAACAACCACCATTTATGCTCCAGGTAGGAAGAAACAGAACCATTCCTGTAAAGAGTGTATGTCAAGGCTCTGTTAGAACCTCAAGCTGTGGTGACCACTGGCTACCAGTGTTTGCGTGACGTCTCCACTGGGACAAAGCAGTTGTTGGGAATCCAGTGTTTTCCTGCACTGGCAGAGCAAGTTTAGATGTTTCATCACATTGGGAAATTTTCTGCCTGGTCTCAAATGCCTGCAAGGTATCAGCTCCTGTAGCTATTGGTGCATGCTGGAGGAGGAAGCACCAAAACTGCATAGGATACAGGATCAGAGAAACCTTTCTGAGGTGACTGAGCAGAAAGGATAAAGCTTTTAATAAAACCATGGTTAAAAATGCAATTCTCATGATTGCAAGTCAAAATTTAGGCCTTTATTTCATAGAAGCATGCAAGACTGGATCCTGTGACTTTACCTCCACGTGTGTACAATAAAAGCAGCCCCCCAGCCTTGCATATTAAATATCCTCTTGCCATAACACAGCACCCCCGATGGCACAGACCCACGCAAATTCATATGGTTGCATAAACACATTCATATAAACGTTCTTCCTTGCACCGCGGGAGCACAGAGAATGTGCTGGGGAGGTGGAAGATAAGGGGACCCAGGAGCAAGGCTGATAATTCTCACGGTGTGAAGGAGCAGTCCTGGTAGCCGAGAGGAGGAGGCTTTGTGCGTGGAGAGGCAGCAGGGCTGCGGCGCTGCCCCTTGTTGTCTCAAATAAGTTCCCTTCAGCCGGTGTGCAAGAGGCCAGTCCACACACAGCGTCGAGGTATTTGGTTTATTGACAGCTCTGCGCAGAAAGGGGTGCTGTGGGAAATCCACAAAGCCTTCACGACGACTCCCAAAACTTTTCGCTACTATACATTTTAGCAACAAAGACGCTAATGTTCATTGGCTACAAGTTACCTCGTTCTCTTACTAGTATTCTATCTTCTATTGGTTAACTATTCTCTCGCTTCTCATGCTAACTGGCCCGCATGCTCAGTCTTTCTCTTCTTTTGGGTCGGTGGGTTTGTTGAGTCGGTCACACATCTCCCCCTGCCGGAATTACGTTTTCCCCAGTCAGCTGCTTCCGCACATCGTCAAGTTGTCTTTAGCAGTTTCTTCCTTATCTTGGGAGTTCTCCCGTGAATTCTGCCTTCTTTGTGTCCACTATCAGTGGTAACGCCTTCTTCCCAGGCTTTGTTAACCTTCCCCTAGGTCGGATATCACTGAAACATGTCCAGCCCTGAACCTTGACAAGGCAATTCCACCGACAGCTAATTTGTCTTTTTAACGCCGGGACATCACTCAGCGCTTGCTTGACAGCTGCCTGTTTCAGGGATTAAATCTCTCTTCTTACTCATTAGGCCTGAAAGCTCACAAATATCAGACATCAAAGAACATCCTTTCTTAAGAAGATTTGTTTACATATTCCGCATTTCGGCAGCAACATCCGCACACCTGGCGGGCCGGGGCGGGTCTGGGATCAGCGCGCTCGCTCCCGCGCTGGCAAGGGCGCGCTCCCGGGGCGGCGGGGGCGCGCATGCGCGGCGGGTCTCCCCGCAGCGCTCGTCGCCTCCTTTGTGAGGGGCGGGCGCGGCCCCGCCCCGAGCGCGGTGCCGGGCGCAGACGGAGCGGCCGCGGCGGCGCCATTTTGCGGCGGTGCGGGAGGCGCGGGCGGGAGGTGGCTGTGGCGATAGTGCCGGCAGTAGCGGTAATAGCGGTAACGGTGGCGATAACAGCGGCCGTGGGTGTTATTGCTGCTAATCGGGACTAGCGTCCCCCTTTCGCCCCAGCCCCTTGGCCAGGACTCTGCCGACATGAGCGACGTGGAGGAGAACAACTTCGAGGGGAGGGTGAGTGGCCTCCCCTGCGCGGGCCGTGTCGAGGGGGGATCGGACCCGGGAGCGGTGGGTGGCGACACTCGGCGTCCTCGGGCCTGGTGGGGGTGGGGGCAGCGCAGCTTAGCTCTAAAATGGCTCCTTCAGGCGCCCGAGGCTTGCCTGGGCCGTGGGTGACGACCCGCGTCCCTCTCCGCTGCCCGCGTCTCTCCTCACACGCTCCCTGCTCCCATCGTCCCGGCGGGGTGCGGGCGCCGGGTCCCGGTGCTGCGGCCCGGCCCCTGCCCAGCCAGCGCGGGCTGATCCTGTGCAAACAGCGCTGCTGTAGCCCCGGGGTTCCCCCCGCTGCTCTGTTCCCTTCCCGCGGTCCCCAGCCGCCTGGTTGCCGCCGGGCCCGGGGGTCGCTGTCCTGCCCGTTCCCGCTCCCCCGGCCGGGCCGCCGAGGCCTCCTCCCGCCCGAGAGTGGAGGGACCCCGCGCCCTTTTGTGCGAGGTGAGCGGTCTGTCCTGGCTCGGGAGCCCCCTCCCGCCACTGGGGAGGTCCGGCCGTCGTTATTAAACCATTGAAAGTCATCGATCGTGAAGCTGAAGGCTTCGAACGAGCTGCTGTGGCTTTGTAACCTCGTTAGGCCTGTGTCTTCCCCCTGATGGCTGCGGGTTTTCATGCACACGTGTGACAGGTCCCTTCCATTTTCAGTGTTTTTGTGACTTTGGTTTTGTGGCGGTTTTTTGGGTTTTTTTTGTTTTTCTTTTTTTTTTTTTTTTTTTTTTTTGTTAGTGATGATCAAGTCAAGCAGGAATTAGAAGCTGCTTGAAACAGGAACGAAATGTGCGCTCCTCCCTCACAATTTACTTTTTTTTTTTTTTAAATTTTGCAGAGGTTTTCTTTTTGTTTGTTCTTTTAAGAGATTCTGTAGAAGAACACCTGAGCATCCTCTTGGTGACTCTCTGTGATGATCCAGTGACAGCAGCCTTGCAGTTACATATATAGCTACTGTCTGGGGAAACGAGCAATAAAATCTTGGAAGAACGGCATTACCTTCCACAAATTACTTTTGCATTACTATTGTTGCCATTTTTGTGGTGATTAAAAAAAAAATCCATAGGCTGCAAGTTCTTTACTTAGCTATGCAATAAGTACTGCTGCTTGCTCGCGCGAGGTAAAAACCTGCCCTTGTGTTGGTTGCTTGGACAAAAGGTGGCTGTGTAGCTAAGCAGTATTGGGGTAAATAAACAGATCTTTGAAGGGGAAACAGCTAAGTTTCAGAAACATGAGCAATGAGTATGCTTGGTTGGTTTTTTCTCTTTTTTAAGATGACAGTAATCTCCCATTTTACAGTCAAGAATTATATCTTTAAGGATTATTTTGTTATCTGTATTCCCAGTATAGGTTATTGTTAGGAAAGAGGTTATGTTAGGTTAGTTGTCAGAACATTGGTATTGGGCTCTTTGATGGGTCTGTTGTTTATGTTACAAAGCTGTTACAGCTCTGTAGTTTCAGCATTTCTGCACACCACCTCCTCCCAAATGTAGAAGTAAAATGTTTTGAGAGAACATGAAGTCTGAAAAGTCCTACGGTAGCAGTTTCTGTGACTTCTGCTTATCAGTTGTTCTTTTTTTTTGGTGTGATGGAAAATTTACCTGTTGGAAAGAACTGATGACTATGTTGAGTCTTCATTTGGAAAACTTCATTTGTTTTTGCTTCCTACACTGAAAATTCTCAATCAGTATGGCATAGCTGAGCATAATGGCAGGTACTCGATTGATTTCTAGTTGGGGGTTTTGTGGTTCTACTGAAGAACATTTGTAAGCCTTTTCATTTTTTTTCTTCAGTAATGCTGCTTTGTTTTGATGGTACTAACATTCTTGAAAAAAGAAATTATATTTCAGAGTAATGTTTTATTTTTCATTTCCACTGAAAGTGCTCACAGGCATAAAATTAAGCACATATAATTTTGGGGCTGTAGTGTTCAGTCTGCTATTCCCAATTGGATAGGACTCTGTCAGGCACTGAATGTCCTGATGCTTCAGTTGGCTACATCCAGGCACTGAGAATAAAGCAGAAGTTGTCACTGGGAGAAAGAACTGCAGAAACTGGAAGAAAGTTTGTAAATAACCTATTTTCATGGAATTTGGCACAAATAAGAATTCTGAGTACCCTTTCAATTCTTCCACCCCCTGTCAGTTTAAGTGCTAATTAGTGTGATGTGCTTTTATAAACTGAATGCCGAAAGAGTAAGGGTGTTTTAAGTTTACTTTGAGGCCTTTTATATTTCATCTGTGTAAATGCATATTGTCCCAAAAGCACTTTAGTGAAAGTTGAGTATCAGCAGAATTGTTTCAAATGCTAATTTTATCGACAGTAAGATACTGTATGTGCTTTACTTCTAATTTATTTGTTTTAAATCATATTGACTAACCTGAACAGGCCAGTAGTAATGATGGAAATAACTTTCAATGAAATTTCTTAGTTTGCATTCTTTAAAACTTCTATTTCTAAAGTGTTGGGTGTGAAATCATTGTAGAGCTTTTCCTACTTAAACTCACTCCTTTATTGACTTTTTATTTTTTAAAGCACATGTTAATCAAATATGCTCAGACTAATCAACATCTGCTCTGGTTTTGTGCCATTTTGTTTCAACTTAAGCAAGTTCTCTCTTAAGAATGTGGCTGGTTGAACAGAAGAAAATCCCCTCCTCAAGCATGGTTATTTAATAGAAAGAAATTGACAGAGGAATTATTAATACAGTGGATGTGCTAGAGCTAAGTTTATGGACATTAAGAATAAAAAAAGATTTTAAATTCTGCTTCTTATCCAGTGACTTGGTTTTGGAAACATCAAAGTATTTTATCACTATTGCGTGTTTTTTGTGAGCAGTTAGACAAATGAGGCTTTTTTAATCTTTTATTTCTGTCAGATGGCAGGCAACTCTTACTTCCTTTCATATTTTTTGTTATTTTTTTATGGGCTATTGTTTATTTGGTGTTCAATCTGTGGTGCAACTTTAGATGTTTCCCAGAGCAATGAACAGAAGGGAGTCTAAACAAACCTGCACTTCAGTAGATCCACTTGAAACTTTGATCAGTTTTTTCTGTTGAGCTTCTGGTAACAATTCATTTCTGCAATCTTAACAGTTTAGTTGTTTTCTACCAGTATTAATGTGTTGTTTGTCTAAATAGGCAAAACCTTTTATCAGAACAAAGGTAAAATTCCATTTTACAGCTCTGTATTGATTGTCTTCCTTCTAATGAACCTGCAGTATGCAGGATCTTGTAGGGGAATAAATAGTATAATCTAATAATACACTTCAAGAAATGCAGGATTTTGCATGTGGTCCATCCTGTTGAAGGAAGTATGCCTATTTTATAGGTACACAAGTGGCTTTTGGGTTAGTTTAGCTGTGAAAGTGCTTTATATTTTCTTCATGAAGTTTGGATGCAAAATACTTAGATACGTATAGAATTACCTAACTGATCAACTTTGAGATGATTTCTTTGGCAAAAAAAACCCCAAGGGCTTGTTTGCTATTGTATTCCACCTCTCCTGCAGTGGCACTCTGCCACCTCTATGGAAAGGAAGGAATGTTGCTTCCCACACCTTTTCAAACACAAGCACAATGGACTGCTAATGCTCAGGGGTTCTGCCTTCACTTGGAGAGTGCTGTGGTCACCCTGCGGTGTCTAATGACAATGTGGGAGAGTTTTTCTGGGAGTCAGTTTTTTAATTTTTATTGTTTTAATCAAGCTTAATAAATTCTGCATTGTTCTGGACCATGTCAGCTGGGAAAACTGCTCAATTTGAACAAAAATTCTTTTTACTGTCTTCTATGTGGGGTAGAGGAATGGCTACAGAACCCTCCCTGAAGAGGTGTATTTTCAAGCCTCAGTGCGAAGATTAGCTTGTAATTTAAAAAAGTTTACTGCTGAAACCTTTTCTTTCTTTTCATAAGGTGGATCATTGAGAAATACATAAAGTTTGGTTATTTTAGTAACTTCTAAAATATCCAGGTCTTCTAGATAACAACTTATAAGATGCTTTTTATACAGAAGCTTATTGCATGTACTGTTGTCATATTTATAGACGATTACCTAATTAAGGGATCCAGTTTTTTTTAGTATGGTGGCACATCACAGTATGAAGCAAAAAGGGTTTAACTTCTCTTTTGAGTTTCAAGAAAAGTTGGTAGATTCCTGCCAAAAAGTAATCTTGTCCTCATAAGTGAGATGTCGCTAGCTTAACAGTTCTATCCAGCAAATGTGGGCTGCTGCTAAATTCATATATCTTTTTTGACTGCTTATATTTTTTGTCCCCTTTTAATAGAGTTTGACTTAATTTATTTTTCTAGTTTGGGTAGGAATTTTTAATAAGATTTTTGGAAATGGTATTGCTAGACCACTTGTCCTGTCCTTTTTTTTTCACTCTGGGTCAAATGAATTTCACCTGAAATTTGTGATTTAATGTCAGGGATTTATTTTTTTTTTTAATTTCCCATGCTTTGCTATAGAAAGCTTAGTTTAAACTTACGTCCTTATTTTTAGTTAGCATCTCACTCTAAATTTTGATAGCCTTTCAGTCATACTCTGAAATTGGAAGGTGAGAGTTAGGGTGAGGCATGACAAGTTCAGGACAGAAGAGTAGTGTGAAAGAACATGGGATTGTTTTGTTTTGTTTGGTTGGTTTGATAAAGGTGTTGGTTGGTTGGTCAGTTGTTTGTTTTGTTTGTTGTGGATCCCCCCATGTTCTTTATCATACCTTCTCTTGATGGCTGGAAAATGGAAAGCATACTTCTTCAAGACTTCTGCAATTCTCCTCTGCATAAAAGTGTTTTAAATGCTTTTAAAATAGTAATTACATTGGAAAGTAGTATTTCTTTCATAAATTGCAAGGAATTTAAGTGATAGAACTTTTTGATCAGTTAAACTGTTTTACCAGGATAGATGACATACGTGGACTGACTGATGCCTGGCTCAGATGGATCATCCAAAGTTGCTGATAGTTGTTCAGTGTCTGGGTTTATATGATTGTGGAGTAATGGGGGTGGAGGAGAGATCCTTTCTATATCACTTTGGTTTGTTACTTCCTGGGATAAAGGACAGTAACAAGGATTAAAAATATTCCTCAGAACTCTCTTTAAATGCTTCTAGTTGTGTATTTTATCCAGAGAATCAGTAACTGAAGCTGCAAACCTTAGATTTATTGTTTGTCTAAGATTTTGGCTCCAAGTTTCAATTCGTGGTGAATCATTAGTCCCATTTCCTGGTGTGTATTTGAAGAAACCACTTACATCTTACTCTAAAGAAGCACACTGTTACAATCGAGTTGGGTTTTTGTAAGTGTTATTGGCAATGGGGAGGGTGTATGGGGTTTTTTGGTGTTTTGGGGAGAGGTGTTTTTGGTGTTTTGGGGAGAGGTGTTTCCTGGGAAAAGTGTTATTGGCAGATGCAGGATGTCTTTTGAAAGGGAAGTCTTACCTGAAGAATCTTACAAAGCTCTGTTTCTTTTCCTGCAGACTCTAGTGGCAGCAAATCTAGATAGTTTGACATGGGGATAGTGAATTATCTGCCTACAAGTTTGTAAGGGTGAAAGTAGTGACTGGACAGCTGCATAATGAAGCCCAAGGCATTAAGATAGGTACTGTACTGTAGGAAGCTGGTGGGATGAGGAGCTGAGTTAAAGCTGAGTCTCATCTGTGACCCTTACATGACTACGGATCTTTAGAACAGAAAGATGAGAAAGTGCTGAGGATCCAAAGTGCAATTTTAGTCTTTTCTCTCCTACACAATATTTAGTTTCTGTGGTAATAACAGAGCTAAGATGAGAATGCATAGGTTGCTTTAAGACTGGTACAAAATTAAGGCGTTTAAGGCATTTTAGTGCTTTGGGGTAGTAGAGTTGTCTGGTTTCTTATGTTAAAGATTACATACTAAGAGTGTTGAGGACTTTTGTCATACATATTGCAGAATGGATATAAGTAGTTAATGAAGAACAATTGGGTTGGCCTGTGATGTAGACTAATATACAGCTTGCTAATTGTTTAATTATAGTGGTAAGTAGAAAAGAAAAATTCTTTAAAATCTCTTTGTGATTCCTTGAAGCTCTGAATCCCTTAATCCCTGCCTGTAGTTTTGCTGATATAAATATTACGAGGCACTTTTTCAGCATTGTCCTTAAGTCCTCAAACTTTTGGAGGTTATTGTGATTCTCTTAGTCTCCTTTAGAAGCATTGTAGGAGTTGTAACTAGGTGAGCTATATTGCATTACAAGATGAGATGTAATTGGTTGCCAATGACAGTGTGCAACTGCTATCAGGTAATCTCTCTTCAGCCGCAGTTTACATCCACAGTTACTTGGTTGAGGAAGTTTGAAATCTCTAAGAATTTACATCGTCCCCTGTGTCACTGTAGTTTTCAAGTTGTGTGTTTGTGAATACAGCCCATAAGGGTCTCAAACTTCCAAACTATATCAAACTATATTCAACAATATCTAATTATGTAATATTTGCTTTTGTTAACTTTATATAGTTTTGGTGTCATAGCTGATTTTATTAAAGACTCTATGGGTGGGTATTGTAAGATGCTTCAGTTGAATAGCCAAGAACACTAAGCTGACTTCTACATTGTATGGGAGCAATTGTGTCCATGGTATTTTTGGCACCTCCCAACACTTCTAGATTGTGCAGGATTGGGGGGTGGGATGGGGGTTGCCTTTGTTCAAGTTTCCAGAGTTCTGATTCAAGAATTGATCTTTCAGATGTAAAAAATATGGACAATGCAGTACCCTTATGAAGAAGGAGTGTCTGAGGAGGGTGAATTCTTTGCCTTTTTATTGAAGGGTGTTTTCTAAGTCTGATGTAACTTTGATTGCTTTTCTTTATTACTGTTCATTTTGACTGGGGAGAGAAATACAAATAGTTCCCAGAGAAATCAGCAATTGTTGCAAGTGATGAGTTATAAAGAGAAGAATTTTAAGAGGCTGTCAGACATTGAAGAGTACAAAGAGGCGAGGTGATAAAAAATCATGTTAGTGGTTATATGAGAAATTTTTCTTTATTGCAAACAGTGGATTTCAAATGTTAAACCACCAAATTTGATAATATTTAAGGGCATGTTCATAATTGATTTCAGTGAAGTCCTGTGGTTAGCTCAGTACATAGCCATCTTCATAAGGGTTACATGGTCCGCCGTTTACAGCCAAGCTTTGAATTTGGCCTTCATTGTTAAAGTTTGGCAGGCTATCATCCTGGTAGGTGACATTCTCCATGAGTCCTTTGTCCTTTTTATTGTGGTAAAGGGGAACAGTAGTGTGCCTGCAATAGTTGTTAGTAAGGGGCTTCTCAGGTTCCATTTCTGGTGAATTTACTGTCTTGAAATATGAAGACAGCATCCTTTGAAAAAGAACTCCCACCCAAGGTAGTGAAGAATTTTAACTGCAAAAGAAACTGGATATAGGTAGAGTAAGAAAGAGAAAAAATTGTGAGGACGGTCAGGAGAAGAAATCATGCAAATAAACATGAAATGTGACACCTTGGGGAGGTGAACTTGGTATGCATTTTTTCATTAAGTATTTCGTAAAGTTACAAATGTATATAGCATACTGTTCTGTAGGGGTTTTATAGCTAAGCTCCCTAGAAATGCTGTACACTATAAAATGTGAGGAAATCCTAACCTGCTCTTTGTTTGCTTGTTTTCCTAGTTTTTCTCTTGTGTGCCTTACCATGCAAGAAAAAAACCCCTCCTGTTTTTACTTCTATTGGATTGCTTTAACTGTACGGTTCTACATCTTAGTTTATATGGATTATATAAGGAAAACAGGATAACAATGAGGAAGAAAAAGTAGGAAGAATAATAATTTATGTTGCTTATACCTATGTGCATGTATTATGCAAGTAAGTATGTGCATAGATAGGTTTTGACTGGAAATCTTGGGCCATTCTGTTGAATTTAATGTGTTAGTAATCTGTAGGAGTAAAATTTGGGATATTTAATATTGGAAGCGCATAGTTATTATTTTAGGGGGGGGAATCACTGATACCAACACTTCAGTATATTTGTGCTAATTAGTTTTTAGTGTATCTATGTATCTTACAAAACAAAATCTCAGAGGGGAGGAGGGTAGCTTTGCAAATACAGTAAAACACTGAGAACTCAGTAAGCTTATTGTTAGAACATAGACACTTATACAGTTTTAAAGATATCTTTTTTAAAAAGTTGTTTTATAAAATAGTTTCTTGCACTTTACCTGCTGGCTTTTCAATTTGGTAGATAACGTCTGAACTCCAGCAGAGTTTTATAATCCCCACGTGCTTAAATATACTAAATGTTCTTTTTCCATTAAGGTTAATGTTCGTGAAGAAATTGAAGAGTTTTTTCCAAGAATGTGGAAGATAAATCAAGATAAAAGAAGGCTAATGAAAAGTATTAAAGATCAGAAAATTAAAATTGAATGGGGGAAAAAATTGAACAGAAGATTGGTCAGATAGAAGCACTTGAATATTTTTTTAAGGCTATAATGAATTGTTTGAATTGGGGAAGAATACACGAAGTATGAAAAATGAAAAACTCAATGAAGAATGAAGAAAAGTAGAAAGCAAGAGTGAAGTAGAATTAAAAGAATCTGGAAGAATGAATGGGTCCTAGGTTAAGTAAATGTATGGTTTATGTTCCAGTGTCTGTATGATCAAGTTGTAGATGAATTTGCATGATTGCTTAGTTAATAGAGAATTGGTGATCTGGTTCAAGCAGGGACCTATTTGAGGCAAGCATACAATATTAACAGTGGGTTAGCAAAATGAAATTTTTTTGGAGGGTATTGTCTAACCATTTGTTTTCCAGGAGCAATCAATATAATAGAATTACTGTACTTTAAATGTTAGGAGTTAGGCATTTACACAACCAATACCATTTTTAATACTATCTTTTTTGTTAGGAGTCTCGCTCCCAGTCAAAATCTCCAGCTGGGAGTCCTGCTCGTGTAAAATCAGAGAGCAGGTCAGGATCTCGCAGTCCATCGAGGGCTTCCAAACATTCTGAGTCGCACTCTAGGTCAAGATCAAAATCAAGGTATGTTCAGAAAGTTATTCATGTCAGCTGAGTGTTACTGCTGTTATTTTGGTAGGTTGACAAAGTTTATTTTTCCCTGTTGTAAAAATGACAAACTTTTTGGGATGTATTAACAGTTAATTTGCCTGTTTGTGCTCATATAGGTGTACAAAGTTGGGAAATGATTTCATGGGTATGAATAGAGGAAATACCATTATTAAAAGTAGTAATGTAGAAATCACTGCTGAAATATATGGGTTTCTCTCGTCCAGAAGAGAGAGAATGGATTGCGTTTCAATTTTGTGAAGCTCCTGCTTCCTTCTTCCGAAATTGTTTATGGAGGAATTCTTGTGTGGACCTCTCCTTTAAGGGGAAAAACAAAAAAAAAAAAAGTCAGGTCAGACTTGGTGCAAAGCATAAGGGTTAGATAAAAAGAGTAAGTTGTCTAACTGTTAGAAATACTGGAAAACAGTGTTTGTGAATGTTCCTGACATTCTTTCATTGGAAGCTTTAAAAATATAATCAAAAACTACGTCTTAAATTGGGTGTGGATAGGTTCTTTATTTATGAGAGTTTTAAGATTTACATTAATTTTTCAGTGCTGCACATGTCTTCTCTTTCCTTCTCTACCCCCAAGTATGGATGTGTGGAGGTAAAGCTTTATAGCTTTCAGGTCTGATGGAGCTTGCATGGATCAGAAGAGAAATGTCAGGCTTTTTTCTCTACATATGCCATAAATATTACCTGGTTTATTCTGCCCATCTTCTCTGTTCCATTTTAGCAACATGTTGATGAAAATGGGGAGAGCTACTGAATGTTTCTTTAACAACCATAGGAGAAACCAGGAAACAGCATCTGTAGCACTAGAGGGGAAAGAGGAATAGTCTTATGTTGTTTCTCCTTCCTAGTTCTTGGGAGAGATCAGTAATACATCTTCTCTATTTATACATTTTGTTCCAGAGCAGCTGAAAGAGTTGCTGTGCTCTGAATTGCCAAAGTTCTATTAATGTTACAGTTTCTCTTCTTGTAATGTTTAGCCAGATGATTATTACCTACCTGTTTTAAACAGGTTATTATCAGCAAGACATTTGCAAGGAAGAGTTTTGAGTAGTAGAGCAGATGTTGGGGTTTGCTTTATTTTTGTGTGGAGTAATTTTCATGCCTAGGTAAACTTTGCTTGTAGATATTGCAACACTGTAGTCCTGCCAGATATTTCAATTTTTCAGTCAAAACAGTATTTTGCAGTGTGGCATGTCTAGTTTCTGTGTCACTGTGTAGTTGTTAGTTAAATAAGCAGCCAAGCTGATGTAAGTTTAAACTCTGAAATTCCTGAAAACTGTTGTGGATACAATCCTTAGTGTATGCCAGAAGTACTCTCGAAGAGTTAGAAGTGGTGCTGCTGAGCAGGTGATTAGAGATCCATGCAATCTTTAGATGTGCAAGGTAGAAAAAGCTTAATGGGTTTAATGTTGTAGACACCATCTAAAACAAGATTTTTCTCTAGAAAATGTACTGTTTACAGTTCAATAAATTATGACCATATGCATTTGACCTGACTGAAGGCTTTCTCTTTGTGGAAGATCCAGGTCCAGAAGACATTCGCACAGACGTTACACTCGTTCCAGATCGCATTCTCATTCCCATAGGAGACGTTCTCGAAGCAGGTCGTACACACCAGAATACCGTCGTCGCAGGAGCCGTAGTCATTCTCCAATGTCCAACAGGAGAAGGCACACTGGCAGCAGAGTATGTCATGTTCAAAAAGGCTGAGTATCGACAAAACAATTGCTGCTTGTATCAGTGTAGTCCAGCTTACCTGCAGGCTGAGTTTGACCTGCTGTTTTGTAACTGGAGGGTACAGGAATTGTGTGGGAGTGGGGGTTATGTGTGGAGCAATCTGTCCTTACAGCTGAGCACTTACTTCTTGGGCCTGCAGCTAACTGGCAGGGAAGTTGTAGAATTTAATTGAAAAACATGCTATTGCAAGTCAGCATGTGCAGGTATGGTGACATGGGCTTCAGTCAGCTCTGGAAGTTGAGCTGTTCTGATTCTTTTTTTTTTTTAAAAAAAGTATATGTAACCTTTACAAAAATGAGACCACATCTGTGTGTGCTGGCAACCTGCAAGTATTAATAAGATTGACATAGGGATCCACAGAAGGAAATTCCCAAGTGTTTATTTGCTTGTAGAGCATATGTTGAAGGTTGCTTGTGATTTTATACTTCTGATTATTTAATTTGGTTTACCTTGAAGTAAAGCCTTGTGTTATTAGGTAATAAGTAAATCTTAATAGTAGACTAGAAAAACTTACAGTTGTGAAAAGGTGGCACAGTAAGTCTTTCAAAATATAGATGAGAAATGTCTCTGTATGAGCAGGAGGAAATACAGCTACACTAGCCAAAATCCAAAATACTAATCTTGTCATTCTGAGATTTCTCCCAGTGGCCTTCTTTGTAACAGCAGAATGGTTGGGGTTGAAAATTGGTAAGCAATTTTGCCACTTCTTGTAGAGAGAGCTTGCATACTAGGTTGATGGGAGGCAGTACAAAAACCTAATACAGAAGCTGCCCTCTAGTTGTCCGCAATCTGTTTAGGCCTTCCAGTGGTGATGTAGTTGTCACTTGGCTCTTAGGGTCTGCAGACTGACCTCAGTATTCTCTTGCTTCGAAAAAACTAACAGGGTTTAAGTGTAAGAGGGATGTTAAAAACATGGAACAGGTATGGATGTGTGGAGGAATTCACCTGAACAATGATTTAAAAGACAAATTTCATTATACTTACAGGATTTCAGTAATAAAATTAGTGCAGTTGCCAGTGCCATTGAAATATGGAGTATAAATTACATATCTTGATGTATATAATTAAAACTTCTCAGTTACAAACTGCCAGGTCTTGTGCTCTTCAGCTATAGTGAGGAATTGCAGAATATTTGTATCTTAAAACAGAAGTTTGCACTTCGACAAATGGAAAGAAAGGAACTTCAAATAGATGAATAGTGCAGGCATCTTATTTTCACAATAGGTTCCTGAACAAATGTGCTGAAAAAAATATGACAGACGATCTAAACCTTTTCAGTCTTTGAATCACGCTGAAAAGCAGGCTCTGAGACATAAACTATTATGCATAGACGACTTACCTGAAACTGAAATAAAAATTTCAGCTGTGTCAGCTTCCACTTGTTATTTTGGCAGAAACATTAAATCTCTTTGCTTGTTGCTGGTGTTTTAAATTGCTGCATCTCGTATTAGAGGTGCCAGAGACCTAACTGAAAAATACGTTGATTTTGATCAAAATAATTCCTACAGAGGATTTGGCATTAGATACAAATTCTCTGGCATGTAAAGAAATTTTGAACCTAAAAGAGAACTTGAACCTTGTACTATTACATATTTGACTTTGTCCAGTTGAAGTGAAATTTATTAAGTATCCCACATCATGATAGAGATTGAAGAGTTTTGTGCTAAAGAAATACGCATGCTTTTGGATTACAGTTTCACAGAACTGGCCTTCAACACTTGCTGCTTTCTAGATGAAAGAATCGGGTGCCTTTCATCCAGCTTACAAGTGGAAAGATTAACTGACAAGTGTAAATATTGACTTTCAGTATATTGGATAGGAAATGCTGAGGTGGAGGAAGTTTCAGTAGAAGCTAGATTATAGTTAAGTTGTCTGTGCTTAGGGGCTCAAGTGCTCACAGGTAGTGTGGTCAGCTGCAGGCAGTGTGCACTCTATAGTGCCTGTGATGACCGTGCAAAAGGGCTGAAGGTGGGAGTTCAGGCTGGCCGACCTGTTCTCAGCACAGGTTTGTGTGTGGTGCCTGCCCCTTGTTGGTAACTTCCGTATGAAATACTAATAGCATGGGTTACTCCTGTTCTATAGCTTTTTTGTAAATCAGAATGCTAAATTTTGTCAACTGAGTTTTTTACCAATATGAGAAATTTGTCGTGGTCTTTTTTCTAAAATTAAACCCATTGAAAGTAGTTGCTTTTTGAAACAATCTTACAATTAAAATGGTAACTGTTAAAAGTGTTAAACTGTGTATTACCTGTTTAGTTTTCTTCAGATTAAATTTTTTATAATTGATAATTTTTTGCTATAAGAATATTCAGTTTTTAATTTTTTTAAAACTGAGTTGAACATTTGTGTTACCAGGCTAATCCAGATCCTAATACCTGTCTTGGAGTGTTTGGTCTCAGTTTGTACACTACTGAGAGAGATTTGCGTGAAGTCTTCTCCCGTTACGGACCTCTGACTGGTGTCAATGTGGTTTACGATCAACGGACTGGACGCTCAAGAGGATTTGCTTTTGTGTATTTTGAGAGAATTGATGACTCTAAAGAGGTAAATGCATGCTTTGCTACTTTTTTCAGGTGTGCTCTTTATGCATTATCTTCATTAACTGCCTGTAAAAAAAGACAAGTTTTTGAGTGTGTATTCGTGTGCAGATTCTCACACTGAGATTAATTTTAAATGCTTTGTTCAAGCAATGTGGCACTTCTAAACAAATGGAGCATTGGAGTTCAGTGTTCAGGTGCATGGGCAGATTTTGAGCATAAGCTCAAAATAAGATTATTAAATCGCCAATAAGCGCTGGACTTGGATTTTAGTCTGTTACTTCAAAATGCAAGTCTTTAAGGCTCCTATGTTGAAAGTATTTTTGAAACATTTTGGAAGTTAAAGTTTTAAGTTGTTTTCTGAATGAAAATTCTGGAGATTCCCTGTGTATTTTCCCCTTTTAGGCATGTCATTGTACATTTGAAAAACAGTGGGGTTTGTCTTGATTTGTGCCTTGGTCCATTGCTTTCCTGGTTGTTTAACAGATAGCTGTTAATAGTTAGACTGAGTTGTTAGTATAATTGATCTGTAAAGAGAGAATCAAAGAATATGAACAGCAGCCTGTGTTATGATTCACCACAATTTACAATAAGCAGTAGTTTTTTTACCGCTGTAATGATACTGTGAACTTTACCACATAAACTGAAATTCATAGATAAAGTTGCTATTAAAAGTAAAGACACCCTCTAAAATCATCTTTAAGCCTGCATTCTGTGCATCTCTTTCTTTTAAGACAGAGTCACGGACTTCATCTTGTTTATGGATTAATAGGTTTGGGCAGATGTGCCGTGTGCATTTGCTAAGTTTTATTTATAAGGAGATACTAAATGTGACTCCTCTCTTTATAGATCATTTAGTATTGAAGGCAGGGAGGATGACAGCTCTGGAACCTATCAGGAGCTGAAAAATAAGAATGACGATGCTACTTGATGTTGTTTAAAAGAAAAAAACTTTTATTTGGATTACTTGACTGAACTAAGTTCTTGTGTTTGACTTCTGGTATGATCCAACTGAGAATCAGTTTATGGGAAGAGCAGTCTTGTAGATGTGTATATGTGTGGTTATTGCAAATAATAGAGGTAAGTAAAAGGACACAAAACTTCCTTTAGTGTCCCTTCTGTATTCTCCTGCAGTCTCAGTTGGAGAGGCTGGTAGAGAGGTTAATGGGGTGGACAGCTGTATATCCATCTGTCTTTAATGGCCTGCTCTGTTCTAACTTCTGGCTTTGTATTTCTTTGCACACTGAATATGCTGGGATTTTGAAACAGCCAAAAAAGTGGCTGTTTTGTAAAACATTTCACATCTGAAATATTTGCACAGTATTTCTTGGCACATTCATATACCAGTCTTGTCTGTTTTACAGCTTCATATGTCTTTAGAGGTAGGTTTTTTCCCTGGTTGCCACGGGCAATGGTCATGTGTGATACCATGCATTTCTTAAAATGTTCCGTGTAAAAAGCATGAAGTAATTTGTTTAGTATAAAGCTGTTTTGGCAGATGCTATGAAACTGGAATGCAAAGGAAAACAAAAAGGGATGTTACTTCCATTCAGAAATACAGAAGTAAGGATTAGGGCCTTAAGCAGGAACTGAAATAATTTGGAATGTAATTAAACCCATTTTTCTTTTCTCCAATGGATTGGTGCCTGAAGAGGGGGGAAAGGATGCAAACTCTCCCAACACCTGGAATTTAAATAACTGAAATACTTTGGCAAGAAGGACAGAAGCAAAACTTGTTTATTTTACTTATTTCATGAGCCTTGAGGACAGATGTGAAGATGGCAATAAGCAGCAGCTGGTGTAGTAAAAGGGGAGATATATAAATATAGATACATAGACAGCTGTAGGTGTGAAATTTTGTGACAGGCCCTGTAGGAGAACACTGAAGGAAATGTAGGAATTCTGTGTTTGGAAGATAGTCTGAAAGGTTGCGTGTGTATAAAAGCAATGATACTTGAATTACTTCTGTTCTGAATAACTAACTCCTCTGAAAAAAATAATAATTTCAAAAACTCCAACCAACCAAAAACAGTAACCAGAATCCCAAACCTCCAACATCCTAAACATCTAAATAATGAGCTGATATGTTGAACTAAATTCCGGCCCTTTTAAAGAAAGATGGATTAAATGAGAGTAGACCTCTAGAGAAAAAGGTGGATTTTTCATAATCTTTACTATTGCCCTTCAGGAAGGCTAGCATAGGGAAGCTTCCCAGCAGACATGCTCTGAAATACAGCTAATACTAAAATTTTACATCAAATTAATTGTGAGTAGTTACATTTAAACTTTCTTAACTTAAAGATTAATCACTGTCAGTTGTGCATGGATTCTTGGGCAGGTAAAATCCCTCAGGTTATTTGTCATCCCTGTTACCGCTTTTACTAACTGGATCATTTATTGAACTAGTTAAAATGTTGCTGTGAGTCATGATTTTGAAACCAAGTTGTGCAGTGTCCATATGGTGGTAAAGACATTTTAAGTTGTCAACTAAATCAATGTATTGGAACACCAAAGACAATGTAAAATAGCATTTCTTAAAGGTGATACTTCTCAGTGTCCTAAAAATACAGAATGGACATTTTACTTTTACTTAAACTGTTTTAGAACTTCAGAATTTCAGTTTGTGACACCATAGCAGCCTTGTTGGTAGCTGTTCATGAGCATCTTTATTATAAAGAGGAACAGAAGCTTAGCTTTTGATAACTACTACCCAGAGAAGCTGCCAAAGCATCACAGTAGCTTCAGACATTCCACTATAACAGTACTGAGAAAGAAGTTTTCAAAGCATGTGTCCAGTCCAGGAGATTTCTTGTAGGATATGTTCTATTCTGTTTGAAACTCTGCCAAGGTTAAGATGAAACTTCATGATCAGACATAAGGTTCCTTTTCCATCTGATGTCTTTTATTGCTGTGGTACAGTGTTTGCAAAATAACACTCGTCTGAATTCTTAGGTTTTGATCCTTTCTGAAGATGCTCATGGACACTGTCTTTAGTTCAAAGTGTGATAGCAGACAGTAAATGTCAAGGACTGATGGGTGTCTAGGAAACAACTGTTGAATGTCTGATGATTGTATGGAAGCCTGAGGATTTGCTGTGCCAGTGTTCTTGTCTTTCAGCTTGTTCAAAACCTGTTTGAAAAGCTTCTGTCATTATGTACCTGTTTTTAGAATGAGTATAGTGGGTTTCATTTATTGTAAGGTTGTTTTATTTTATATGGGTTTTTAAAAATATTTGGTGTTGCTTTTTTGCCTTGGGTGGTGCAGTGTTTTGTCTTGGCCACTCTTTTCCAAGTCCTCAGAATGTGCAAGTCCTTTGCATGTGCAACATGCAAAGGGCAATATCTGTAAACATCTGTTCAAGACTTGTTTCTCACACTCTGTTACGTAGTTCTCAATATTGGCAACACTGGCATGCAGCCAGTGTTGTAATGTTGTTTTGCAATGTTTTCACTAAATTATAGAGGATATTTATCAGCCCATCACATAAGGATTTTCCTCCTGTGTTTAAGAGGATTACAAATTTCTATGTACTAGGATGAGAAAAAAATTAGGTTGATGGGGGAGAATTGATTGTGTCAGGGTCTTACTTAACAGTAAATTGAGAAAATCATGAGTGAAAAGTGCTGGCTGTTCTAGCGACGTGGTTCTTACTACAATTACCAGGGATGTCATATGCTGCTAAACCAACTTTTCAGTAGCTCAGACTGTGAAGTGTTAGTTGTTTAAACTGAGGCTACTGTGAATGTACTGTCTGTAGGAGGAACGCATCTAAGAAGCATCAGCTACAGCAGCTGTTGGCAATATGGAATTTTCTAATGCTAGTTAGATGTTGTTCTTCAAAAAGTTTTGAGTACCTTTCCAGAACCATTTTCTTAAGTGCTGTTGATTAACAATCAACACAAACCAGTAACATCATTCAATTGCCAAAGACCAAAATAATAATGGAGTTTATTAGTTCAGCTTGAAAAACATACAATCTGTGGTGCAAGCAACTTGCTTATAACCAATGTTATTGAACAAAACTCCCATGGCTTGTTGAAGTATTTTTAAGTATTGTTTAAGTATTGTTCATGGTATCAAAAAAGCCCCTGATATACCAGAAAAGAGCACTAGAAGGTCTCAGATGTTTGGAATTACAAGTTACAGACTTCTGGACACTCTGAAATACCATGGAATTGCTAATACTTGCAGGGACATCCAGTTCTTCATTCTGGTTCTCTAAAATCCTGTATTTCTTGACTCTGAAGCTCTAAAGTATGCTTTAAAGATAATACATTGAACCAATCAATGCTGAAGGTCGTAATTGTATATGTTTAAACGTTATTGAAATCTCAGACTGGAGAATGTAAAATGAATGTTGTTCAAAAGTGAAATGGACACTTGAATTGAGCTTGGCAGACTGCATCAAGTGTAAAAAGATGAGTTTCTTTATTAATTCCATCAGTTTGGGGTTTTTTTCAGAATTTTTTTTAGTTGTTCTCAGTAAATCCAGAACTGAATGAGTAATCAATTACTGGAGGGGGGAATTTAACCCATTGTGTCTTTCATCCCTTGCTGTACCTGTGATAGAATGGAGATGATGTTTTTCTCAGCATCGTTAAATGCAGTAGAGAACTTCTGGTAAAAAACTAACAAAGAAACTCCAAAAACTGCAGTGAGGAAAAGAAAAGGCAGTACCTTGTGCAGTTATTTTTAAATCGTGAGAACACATTTTTAAAATAAGTCACAATATAAACTGCTTGTGCTTGACTATTTAAGCATATTCAGTCTCTATGTGTCTGACTTTGTAGTGATGGAAAGTTATTGAAATAGTTATCCAGACTGAAAGTCTCTAATTTTTTTAGTGAATTCTGGATTAACTAATACCAGCCACCCATGTAAGTTTATGCATTTAATTAAAAGTTGTGTTTCCAATCTTTTTACTCTATCTACCTAATTGGTCATACATGCAGAAAACATTACATACTGCATTAAATATCAAATGACATTGAAATCTTTCTTAAATTTATTGCTTTCTGACTTTTTTGAGCCGCTGGAGATGACACTGTAGTTCAGGAACTGCGCATTTTGTAAACTAACACCTTATAGATAATCAGTTTTCTCATTATGGATAGTCTGCTGAAGGTTTAAAACTCCAAAACTTTAAAAACTTGATCCAAGATTGAACCTATGCCATTCCCAGTCCTAGTTCTGTTTTCTGACTGCAAACATATAGGTGTATATTCTAGCCTACAAAAATCAAGTTTTCCTTAGAATTTGCTACTAGAATTGTTACTGTATGTTTATAGGAATGCTGTGTTCTTGCTTACTGTCCTCTAGCAAAAGCCATGCAAGTCTTTTAATGGCATTCAGATATTTGGAAAATAATCCAGGCTGCAATAAAAATAGATTGTTGATCGTTAAAGACTCCTAAGAGGGCACTGTTTGTCTTAAACCCAATATTATTTGATTTTTTTCTTTTTAAAGTTTAATTTCATCATCTTAAACAGTATTTGAGAATGTCTTCAGCATTTTTAGAGAGAATATGCAATTTTTTCTCTTTGGCACTCAAATATTCTTAACACAGCAGTCATGCACACCCAAAACCATCAAGAAAAGGAAACTGAAATTTGTTTTCAATATGGCATGCAGTAAGACTGTAAAATCCAAAATTTTCTTGTAAACTACTTCAGCTTTCAATAAAGCACAGATTTGCCTGTGATTAGGATCACTTAAATATTTTTACGGCCTTCATACAAAATAAATACTGTTTATCAGTTACATGAACACAGGTTTTCAGAGAGAGCTTTTTGTCATCTTGCAGCAGTCCTTACCTAAAAATGTCAGCTTAAGTACTTTACTCCAATGACCTGAGGTGTGCAGTTAAGAGTGGTGCAGAGAATCTTCTCTTTAGAAGCAATTTCCAGTTGCTAATTACTGAATGTGAATGATCCATACTATTAATTGTTGTAGATTTTGGCTTTCCTGTGTTTGGGGATGCAGTCAGAACTATAAGAGGCTTTGTTGTTTTTGTCTATCTATTAAAGATTTTCTCTATTTTATAAAATTTTAGTTGGCAATTATTCCTGACAGCTCTTAAAATAAAATGTTTTAATATTTGGTAGGACATTAGAAATTATGGCCAGGGTGTCAGGAGTTCTGTGCAGTCTGCTAACCATGATCTTTATCCACTGAAATGTAATACATTTCCTGGTATTTCTAAAACAAACAGGCAACTCTCAAAATTAATTCTTCATTTCTCTTACTGTTTTGTTGGTCTTCTCTATACTGCTCCCTCTGTCAAAGAATTCTTCCTCTGGAAGAGGTGTTTGTTGGCATAACTAAATAAGACAAACATGCCAGATGTTCTGGATTTGAGGTGGCTTCTTGTCAGCTAAGCTTATTATTCTGCAAGTTGTTGACTGGAATTGAAAATGCCATGCAGCAGAAAATTTCTTACAATTTAACTTGCTGCATTTCCAGAAAGATGTGTTTCATCATGAAGGTAATTTTTTAGCCAGATATTTGCAGCCTTCATTGTTAGGCTTGTGCACACATACTTTCCTAGGATGCGTGCACAGATTTATTTTCATTTACATCGTCCTTGTGGGGAAAAAAAAAAAAAAAAATGTTAAGACTACAAGGCTAAAGCTGAGGAATGTGTTTTAGTCACAAAATATACCTGAGTGTATGTCAAAAGGCTGGGAATGCTCTTTGCTGTGCCTTGCAGTTGGCTAAATGTAGTTAGTTTTGTACAGGAACACAAATCACTAGGTGGCGATATAGTATGGACACAAACAGCATTACTAAAATACAAACTCGCTCTCAATAAATACATCCATGATCATCAGTCACCTCCAGTTTGGACACAACAGTTAAATCATATGGATATCAGGTTTCTGTATCTCCTTTATGATTTGTATGTAAGTTCAGTAAGGCTCTTGTTAGCGCTGAGATTTTTGAATAAATGTTTCATTATTAAAAAGAAGAAAAAAAATTTCTCTGCTTAGAGCCACCTTCATGTTTTGAGGTTGTGTATTGTGTTTTGCAGATAAAAAAATAGCAAGGTGGCTGTGTTCTTTAACTCAAGATTGTAAGAGTGTCTCTTCTCCAGACATGAAAAATCAAAATAATGTGTATTGGACTAAGTGTTGTGCTTAGTGTTGAGAAGTAAGTGGTGTGTATTGGTATTTTAGGGATTCTGTAGCAGAAAACAAAAGCTATTAAAATTCAAAAAGCATATTTAAAAAAGAATCCTTGAAAGTCCATCATTAGCTGTTAAAATTAACTGCTGTGGATTTGTTGGGGTTTGGGTTTTTAGGTTACTTTTGAATGACTGTGAATCTCAAAAGTACATTGTGCTCCTTTGAATAACTTACTTTGATGGTTTGAGTTTGTGAAAGGCCATTGTATTGATTCTCAGAGTGGAGAAGCTGGGGCTGGAACACCCAGCGAGTGCGTGCAGGGGCTGCGGGCAGTTCTGAAGGCACGGGCGTCTGAGCGCAGACCCTTGTGTGTATCACTTAAGCGAGCTGCTATTGTGAGAGGGAGTGGGGAGGAAGGTTGTAATTAGGTATCCATGTAGGCTGAACCCGCCATTTTACTAAGCTCTGCTGAAGTAGGTCCTTGTAAGGGAGATGGCAGGAGGCTGGGAGAGCATGAAATGGCAGCCGACGAGCAGTAATCCGGCCATATGCACCCTACAGGAAGCCACTGTTTTGCACAGCTTTTGAATCCGCCCGTCCCCTCTGGGTCAGAGACGGCGGTAGGAAGGATGCAATTTTCAGAAAAAAGCTGGTTTGACTTTCAGTTTACCTTTCAGATGGGTAGAAGATAAAGTCTAGGGAGAGTGGCTGTGTTAGTGGTTAGCCTGTGCTCCCTTAAGAAGGGATTGAGAGTCGCATTAGTTCGGCGCCCCAGTGCAGTCCTGTAACACCACCGGCAGACAGGCATGGGGACAAGAGATGAGCCGGTCGCCACAGTGGGGCACTAGTAACCAGCCTAAACAAGACAAGTTCCGGGCTTGTTTTTCTGGTGGAAAATAATGTGTTTGTACATAGCCTTCCATAGTTACCAGTGGTTGCAGATTTCACATCCCTGTTCCTTGTCTCTCCTGCAGGCAATGGAGCATGCAAATGGCATGGAGCTGGATGGCAGGAGGATTCGAGTGGATTATTCAATCACCAAAAGAGCACATACACCCACCCCAGGCATCTACATGGGCAGGCCAACACAGTAAGTTCAGTGGATTTAAACTGAATGCTGGATTCTGGTTGAAGAAATTACTAACATAAAGAATGCAGTACTGTGGTTCACATACACTTCTAAATCCTACTGTTGTTTATTGTATCCTTATTTATAAAAATATTGAAGGACCTGTTAATAAAAAGTAATATCTAGCATGATCAATTAATGTATCCTTAGCCTGCTGAAATACTAAGGTGCCCACTTGCCTTTGATTTTGTTGAGAATTAGGGTCAAATCCTTCATTTTTCTGGGAATTTTGAAGGTGTTTTTATTTAAATATTTTGTTTGTCTATTTTTGTGATATAGTCTTAGGTGTCTGACTTACTACAAGACTACTTTAAAAAAGATTTAAAATAATTTATATTTACTTTGTATCTAATGATTTAACTCAAGATGAAGACTAGATATATAAAGGGGGTTTTGTTTTTGGTTTTTTCTTTTCCCCTAATAGCAGTGGAGGAGGTGGTGGTGGTGGAGCAGGTCGTCGCCGGGACTCATATTATGATAGAGGGTATGACAGAGGATATGACAGATATGAAGAATATGACTACAGATACAGGTACCTTATCTTTATTTCATTTCTGTAACAGTGGATTTGTTGATTTGTTGGAAAGTTAGATGATAAAACATATTATTCAGTTTGTAGCAATATTCTGCATACATGCCTGTTATGTGTTAGAGCCTCATTCCCTTAGGTTTTATAGTGAAGTAGTCAGAATCTTCAGTGTTTATGTAACTTGGTTTTTCTGTGGGGCAAGGGGTTAATTTTGCTATGTGAAGGAGGTGTAGAGCATGTATCCCAGGAATCAAGTGGACAGATAAAAAGGGAACTCATTTTTCTATGCTGTATATAGAACCAGGGACAGCTGATACACACTGCTGTTTAAAAAGGGATTATTTGTAGATGGGATTTTTAATGCTTGACATTTCATAACCATCTTGCTGTTTTGAAAGTTATCTGGTTTCAGAGAATGTTGTTCAACAAGAATTGTAGGCATCTGGAAAAGCACTTCATGTGTTTGTAAGGCTAGTGAGAGTTTATTAAATTCTTTGTCTGCGAATATCTTAGACTTTAAATACATCAAATAGAGAAATATAAAAGCATTTGTTAAGTAACCATAAGCCACAGCCAAATAAAGCAGAAATCATTCATGCAGGCCAAGTCTTTCAGTGCTAAGGAAGTGGTTCTGTTCTGTAGAAGTGATGTGAATAAGGCTTCTTTCATAATGGATGTTGTTTGGTTTCTTTTTTAATTTCCTTTAAAGGAGACGATCACCATCGCCTTATTATAGTCGATACCGATCGCGATCAAGATCCCGTTCCTATAGTCCAAGTAAGTAAATACAAGTGAATAAACAGAATCTGGCTGACACAAACATTGTTATATGAATTGATCACTGGGGATTCTGAACGTGAAAGCAAAAAAAGCTGGGCACAGTTAAGCTGAGATAATGTGTACAGTTAGTTTATGATTGTGTAATTAGTAATTGTGTCATCTTTTGTGTTTTCCAGGGCGCTACTGAAGATCAGAAGAGTTACAGTTGAGGACTTGATTTTTAAATACAAAGTTCAGATCTTTAGCATCCCTACTGCTTTCCCTTCCATCTTCCCTTTCTTGTCCTCCTTCCAGCTCTTTCACAAGTCTTTGGTTCATTTAGGATATACATATTTTCAGTTGAAGTATTCCCATTTTCGATCCCTTCTTATTGTAATACTCTTAAATATTGTAATTGTTGTAGTTTTTGTGTAGTAAAACATCTTGAGCAAAAAAATAGAGAACCCCAAAGTGCTGATACATTTTGGAAGTCATTCCTATTTTATTTCTAAGACAGTTGGACTCCTGACTAATCAGAAGAGAACATTGATATTTTTAAAGCTTGCATGTCATATGTAGTATACACACTCGGATACTTTAACATAAACCTGCATTTCCAAGTAACTTGTTAATCTTTCTGTTAAAATGTTTACCTATTACTTTGATAAACAAGTAATGACTTTTGAGTCTTTTCTGTAATGATGAATTTGCTTAGATAGTCATGAACCAGAGGATTTTTTAATTTTTTTTTTTTTGTCAAGTAGTTTTTGTCTACTTTTGAAAGTAGACTATTTGAGCTAGATCAGAGTTTGGTATTTGACTGACTGGGAGAATAGATCCTTGTACACTCAAAATTAAGGCTGTGTGTTTTATAGAAAAAAGTTTCTGGATTGCTACACAGTGGATAACAGTTGAAATTAAAATTGTTAAATTTCTGGAGTCTTTGTGGTACTTCATTGAATATTTCCCCTTAATTGGTGCAGGAGAAAAAAATATTTATTGAACATAGCAATTAGTTATATAATTTGCTGTTCATGAAATAAAAAATGGCCAACTTTTTGGTATTAAAATAATGATGGAGCAAGTTTTGTTTCCAGTCCTTTTTGAACTTTTGGAAGTGTAGATAGAAAAACCTATAGCTACATGTAAGCCTTTTTTTCCCTCAATAAAAGTTAAGTCCACTGATAATGTGGTTTCTTGTCTTTCATTCTGCGTCTTGTGTCACTTTGGTTAAACAATACTTGATACTGGGGTGTGGATGATAAAGTCAGCTTTTACCTGTCTTTTCAGGAGCCTTGTCTTCCCTGAGAATCAGTATGTTGGATCATACGGGATGGCTAAGCAGGGTGGGTAGTCCAGCTTTCTCTTGTGCCATCTTTGTCACTTGCTGGAGTTGTGGTGAGATGGTCGAATAAGAGAAACGCTGTTGACTTTCTTTAGTTTTGTGGCAAGTGGCTGGTTGAACGTTGATGTTGCCACAGGAAGAGGAATACAGCCACAAAGCCCTTGCAGCAGATTTTCATCCTGATTGTCAGGGAAGGCCAGCAAGAGAGTTTGTCATGATTTTAACAGAGTTAAGTGTGTAAAATGTAATTGCATTAGCTGTTTCTGAGTGCTGGTGCCAGGAACTATTAACAAGTAGTTAAAAGAAACACCAGCACACATCTTAAAAGCCTGATAGAATATGCCAGGAGAAATTGGTGACAAAAAAAATTCTAGCTGTTCAATACCTTGAACAAATTCTGTTGTTCAATACCTTTGAATCCATGATGTCTTACCATAAATTGCAGTTGAAAATTCTTAGTAAATTGAAAGCAGAGTAGCTGAAACACTGAAGCCAAATCTTCCAACTCTGATGAATTTACCAATATTTATTGGTGATCCGGACAAATTAGAAAATGTTGGGAAAATCGTTCTCTCTAAACCAAAGTCCCAATATCTCAAGATAAAGAACTATTGCTATATTTAATTTTGGTTTTCTTTCAAAATATGGTTAGCCAGTGTGACACTGCAAGGAGGATCCAGGGAGCTACAGGCCTATTGGCCCAGGATGGTCATGGGGCAGGTATCTTGAGTGCCATCACACATGCTGGACAACCAAGGGATCAGGCGCTACCAGCATAAGTTTAGGAAAGGCAAGTCCTGCCTGACTAACCTGATCTCATCCCATGACCCAGTGACCCACTTAGTGGGAGAGGGAAAGGCTGTGAATCTTGTCTACCTGGACTGCAGCAAGGCCTTTGAAAGGTACTGTCTCCCATGGCCTTCTCCTGGAAAAGCTGGCAGTCCCATGGTTTGGGACTCTTTGCTGAATAAAAAGCCAGTCTGGATATCTGGCCCCAGAGGGTGGAGGGGAATGGTGCCACATCCAGCTGTTGGGCAGTCCCAAGAGGTTCTCCAGGGCTCAGCACTGGGTCCCATCCTGTCCATGTCTTTTATCAGTGACCTGGATGAGGGGATTGGGTGCACCCTCAGCAAGCTCACAGGTGATGGCAAGGTGGGTGGGAGCACTGATCTGCAGGAGGGTAGGAAGGTTCTGCAGAGGGGTCTGGACAGGCTGGATCGATGGGCTGAGGTTCAGTAAGGTAAAGTGCCAAGTCCTGCACTTGGGTCACAGCGATCCCAGACAGTGCTACAGGCTGGGGGCAGAGTGGCCAGAAAGCTGCCTGGCAGAAAAGGACCTGGGGATGCTGGTCCACAAGCTGGCTGAGCATGGGCCAGGAGTGAGCCCAGATGCCCAAGAAGGCCAGCAGCAGCCTGGCTTGGATCAAGGATAGTGTGGCCAGCAAGATCAGTGATTGTTCCGCTCTACTCAGCACTGGAGAGCCACACCTCGAATCTTGTGTCCAGTTTTGGGCTTGTGAGCTCAAGAAAGACCTTGGGGCCCTGGAGTGTGTTCAGAGAAGGACAACGGAGCTGGGGAAGGGTCTGGAGCACAAGATCTCTGTAGAATGTCAGAGGGAGCTGAGGGCGTTTAGCCTGGAGAAAAGGAGGCTCAGGGGTGACTGCATCGTTCTACAAGTTCCTGAATGAGGATGTAGAGAACTGAGGGTTAGTCTCCTCTTCCAGACAATACAACAAGAGGACTGCAGCCTCAAGCTGTGCCTCTGGAGGTTCAGGTCAGACATTCTGATCTCTTGACAGAAAGGGTTAAATGTTGGAATGGATTCCCTGCCCAGGGATGTGGTGGAGTCACCATCCCTGAAGGTGCTGTGTTCCAGTGTGGCACTTAGTGCCAAGGTGGTGATTGGTCAAAGGTTGGACTTGATCTCAGAGGTCTTTTCCAGCCTGGATCATTCTGTATGGATTATGGAACGGTGTGTAGAAACAGTGAGGCAGCCAGATGCAAAAGCATGGGGAGTATCTGCAGTGCGGGTTGAGGGAGGCATTCAGGCTCAGGGAATTAGGATAACAGGAAGTGAGAGAGAGAGGTGGCTACTTTCTGCAGTTTATGGTATTTGTGGCCCGTAACTGTCCAGGCTTGAGAAGTTGTATTTGCCAGCTGGGGAGCAGTTCAGCAAATATGTTGCCTGGAAGCCGGAGAAGTGTTGCGATACTTAGCTTGGCAATTGTATCTTCCAACAGATAGATCTGTCTACCTAAATGTCCTATTTATTAGCACAAGTCCTTATAAAGTTATCAGTGATAGCAGCATTGTATTACATGGTTCATTTTGTGCTTCATGTTCAGTGATGTAAGGCAGTCCACTTGATGAACAGGTGAAAGTGGTAATTCTTACTGTCCTGGACATACTTGTCTGAAATGTATGAATAATTGCTGGACTTAATTGGCCATCTCTAAAACTGGCAGTCCTGAAAGGAAAGGGTCATTTGCAGCTGTTTCCTCATTTGTGGGTGGGGTTTTTTTGGTTGGTTGGTTTGTTGGTTGGTTGGGGTTTTTTAACTGAGATCACTTGGGCAGAGATCTCTGGGTTAGCAGGGTTTTTTTTTTAACTTTTGTGGCTTGCATTCTCCCCAGGAATGGCAGTGTCATCTCTGCTTTGTTGTGAATGGATTTAGGAACATGGTTTCTTTAAGCTCCAGGTTCTATATATGAAGTTAATTAGCCAAATTTTTACACTGTTTCTGCAAACACAGCTACTGAAACATACATACTTTTCTCTAGACATTTTTGTACTTCTTGTCCTAGGTGAATTATTAGTGTAGTCAGAACTCTGAACAAATACTACACTTTTACAACAGAGTGACAACAAGTCAACCTAAGTAAAAAACCTTGATGTTACTCTGTGCTAATACACAAGAAGCCAAAGTTCACAATGAGCTGCAGGGAATATTTAAATACTGACTTTAGGCAAACCTGACGTTTATCTGGGTTTATGTATAGCCTCAATTCTAGGCGTAGCCTAGAGAATGCAAGATAACACTTGCTCTTAAATATGCTGTGTTCCCAAATGCTTCCGAGAAGTGGCCACAAGAAGTTCACAACAGCTGCTACCCAGGCTAGTCCGAGACTGTGTATGTAATGGAAAATTTGCACCCGATGGCAACAGTTAAGAGACATACTGGTTCACATGTGGAGACAGAATACCTTCCAAGAGGGGGTGTGTGCATAAAGACAATGTACGTAAGAGGAAGTTCATCAAGACTGTTGTTTAGTCATTTGTCCTGTGTAACTATACTCCAAATCTGTAATGACATTAAGACTTGGTATTGCAGTACTCAGCAAAGCATTTGACTGTGGTACTGCATGATGTGGAAATGGTGGGGCCCAGGCAGCTAGAGCATGCTTTTTGGGAAAGCACCTTCTGCTGCATGGCTTCACGAAGTAACAACAGGTCAGGCAGACTTAGCCTGACCACTGCCACCCTTTACTATCAGTCCACTTAGCTGCTGCAGTCCTCTAGAGCTAATGTGAATAACCAGAGAAGGAAAACAATCTGGGATAAACGTTTTCTATTGCTTTCTACAAAAGCAATTTGGTTTTTTGGCTGGGCACATGATGTGAATGAATTCTCCTCATTCTCGCAGTCACTGCCCTTGCCTTTTAAAGAGCAGCATAAAGGAGAACACAAAATGCACTTAAGCCACCTCATCTGCAGTGCCTGTAGACAATTTCTTGCTTGCTGACATTTTACTTCTGCATAAAATTTTTCAGGTAGCACTGCATCTGTACATAGATGGGTAGGGACTGTTAGGTTCAGCAGAGGGATGTTTTTCTGTCTCTCATGCACTTGTATTTGTAAATACAACACTTTGATCAAGTAAAGGTAGAAAACAATTTGCCTTAAGTAGGTCAGTATGTCCAGAGAGCACAAAAAATATCACCATCACACTTTCTCAGTTTGAGGTATCTTGTTATTAAATTGGAACAAATAAACCCTAATACTTTTCCTTCTCTTGCTTTAGATACAGAAGTTGAAACATTCATTAAAACTGGCAGATACAATAATGGCCTTAGAAAGGCTACAAGCCACTTCAGTGCGTCTGTTGCTGAATTTCCTGAGGAATTGAGAGACCACCTTATACAGAATGATTTCTTAACCTTTGTAGTAGCAACTGAGGTTACATTTTTGATATCTAATGGTAGATCTCTTTCACATTCAAATAGCAACTAAATTGTTTCGGCAAAACATGAAAGATCTTTGTCAACAAAGGTCTGCAAACCTTTCTTTAAGTCTATGTGCAAGTGCTATGGTGGAAATAATTGTCCCACTGTGCAAAAGGCTAGTGGTACTTCCTGTGTAAGATTATTTTTTAAGCTTAAAATGTAGTTGTTTCTCTGTACCCTCCTTTTTCTCTTTTTCCTTTGTTTCTGGTGGAGCCTTGCAACTGGGAAGGTATCTGATACGTTAGGGATCAAGAATGGAGAGCTGTGGTTACCAAGAGCCAATGTTGATGTAGCAGTTCCACCAGCTCTGATCTGTGATTGCACCCTTGCTCTTCTTCCAGTACTGCATTAGGACAAGGACGCACTCTCTGCATAGCATCTCAAGTTCAGTGATTTAGAATCTGCCAAAATTTCCAAGCTCAATTTTCTCATGCTGAACCAGTCCCATAATACTTGGATAATAGCAGCAGTGATAAGCAGCACAGGCACAAGGTAATTTTCCACCATGCTTCCTTGTCTTTCAGCATTTACCCCAAAGAAAAGTACAGACAGAGAACTCCTCAAGTAGCTTTCAGGTGTATAACAGGGCTTTGTACAGACCTTTATATTTGTTTTAA